AACCATGATGTATCTCTTAAGACGGCTAATCTCGAATGCTTGATTGAAATCTTTTAAATGTTAATTTTACAGATTAATTAGTAATAATAATAATAGGCAACCCAATTTGCACCCGAAACAAATTAGTTGTCTATATTACTATAATTAAAATTGATTTTAACAAATATTATTGAATTATTTAAAATGAATCTTATTTTTTTAATTTATAAATAATTAAAATCGTATATAATAAAATTATTTCATAGAATTCGACGCCATTCGTAATTATTTATTATGAAATTTTATCACAATTGATAAAGATAAAGAGTTAAGTCAATTTGAATGTTAAAAAAAAATTTTCCTTTAATGCGTCTGTTTTGGGAAGTTACGTTGATTAATATAAAAAGGTTTATCAAGCAACGACAAAGTCAATGTCATCAGGTTATCGTCAACTTATTGGGCGTAAATATTGAGTTGTGTTGAATGTAAACTGTTCCTATTTTTTTTTTGTTAAACACTTTTTTAGATGATAAAAATATAGTCGTCACGATAATTATGATAAATAATTGCCACGTGTTGCAAAATACAACATGATATAAAAGTGTCACCATGGGGCTTTTTTAGATTTAGATAAATATTATAATTAAAACTAATTTATTAATTTTTTATTGAATGTATTAAATAAACATTTTAATTTATCACGAAAATAATGTACACATCTGCTTAATTATTGGTTGTTATCAACATCAAAGAGTTATTTTTAAGAAATACTCATTGAACAGTTAAATAAAATGCAGATTTTGCAGTCTTTCGTTTTAGTAAACTTCTTTATTTACGGACGATTGATAATCTTTATCAGCAATATTTGCTATTTAAAATTATTACAAACATTTAAGATTCTTTGTTTCCATTTGAAATTGTGTAATCTTTTGTGTCGACACCAGTTTTAATAATTTATTATTCCAATATGAAACATGTTGAGTATCAAAAAATTTTGTCGTATTTAAAGTGTAAGAAATAAAATTGAACCTAACATAACAATTTTTTGTTAAACTACATTTTTAATCCTGTTTTTATCTCAACTTTTTATCGACATTGTATTTAATCATCAGATATATATATTGTAAATTTTTCCGTGCACTTCAAAATGAATCGAATTTGAAACAAAAAATGCAAAACTTAAGATATAAACTATTACGAACTTATTTTACTTGAATTGAATGTCAAATCGGATTTTAGATCGGAAATCTATTATCATAATACGATTTTATTTAAACGCAGTAAGGTCACCGACTCATCGTGAATAGGTCAAAACAATAAAAGTAAAATAGAACTATTTAACTGATGCACATCACATTACAGCGAACCGAATCTCTTCGAAACCGATAAATCGAAACGATTCCCTGCAACGAATCAACACAAAAACAAAGCTGATAAAAAATAAATCAAAATTGACGTACACAAAATCATTACACAAAATCGAAAAGAAAATCAAGGACGTTTAACTACATTGTAATTTTAATTAATTAATGAATGTTAACATCGATTTAAACCCCAACAAAAAATTAATTAATATTTATTAAATCTATTGTATTTTAAACTTTGTAACGATTTTATCGATTTGATACGAGATTATCATAACATTCAATTATAATAACCACTTGCAACAAAAAAAAAACTTGATGCAAGTTCAATTTAATTATAAATTGCGTTTTAAAATTATTAACAATCAAATTAACTCACTCAATAAAAGAATTTTTTTAATTTTTATATCAAAATCTAAACAATCATGTGAAAAACAAACAAAATATCCAATAAAATAACAAAGTTTTAGATCCAAATATTGACATTACCTACTATTATAGTACAAGAAGATAAAGTTTCGATATCTCGAAATTTTTCTTCTTTATTCCGTTTAAAAGAGCCACATTAAAGGCGATAGAACAACAGAACAGTAATTGGTCCGTTTAAATTTTAAACTATCTCATCGAAAATGCTTTATCAACGAAAAACATTCCAAATTAAATATTGTTTTAATGATAATTATTGTTTTACATTCTTTTAACTTCCTTTTAGTAGCTAATATAAAAAATGTAAAGAAAAATCTCTTTGATCATGTTAGTTTTACTTTTTGTTTAATAAAAATATACGTTAATCTAGAACTAACACTGGACACTGGTGTTTTATGTTATAATTTCTGGTGCATTTCTGAAGTGATACCCTATACTGCCACATTATTGCGATATTTGAATAAAAATGAAATTAATAAGAAAAATGATAAGATATGTCAACTTATTTGGAAACAAGATACAAAATGAACTTTTTTGATGCTGATTTAACTAATAAAGCAACTCTAAAAAAAGGATACTTTAATTAATAATATTTCCACAAGGATCCTTCAAGGAATTAATTTTATAGCGAATTTTGCAAGTTATCGATGAAAATTGCAACATCGAAAATTTTATCAAAACTTCAAATATTGTTTTCTCAAAAACTACAAGTTATTTTTCAAAACGTGTTAGTTCATTGGAAAGAGGACACTCTTATTAACACGTTGGGAAATTTTTAAACTCATATTCCAAGAAATGGATTTTATACGAATTTTTAAAACTTAATCGGCGATAATTGAAAAATTCGAAAAAATTATCGATCATTTCAAAAATTTATTTCTCAAGAACTGAAAATGATTTTTCAAAACGGCTTTTTGCATTAAAAAGAGGATACTTTAATTAATAATTAGTGATATTTCCGCAAGTATCCTTCAAGGAATTAATTTTATAACGAATTTTGCAAGTTATCGATGAAACTTGCAACATCGAAAATTTTATCAAAACTTCAAATATTGTTTTCTCAAAAACTAAAAGTTATTTTTCAAAACGGGTTGGTTCATTGGAAAGAGGACACTCTTATTAACACTTTGGGAAATTTTTAAACTCATATTCCAAGAAATGGATTTTATACGAATTTTTAAAACTTAATCGGCGATAATTGAAAAATTCGAAAAAATTATCGATCATTTCAAAAATTTATTTCTCAAGAACTGAAAGTGATTTTTCAAAACGGCTTACTGCATTAAAAAGAGGATACTTTAATTAATGATCGAAAGTGATAACAGCGACAGTTTTGTTAGTAATGAATGTGATGATGAATTACAAGCGAAGAGAAGAAAACTAGACGAAACTACAACAAAAGATTTTATATATCGTATTGGGATTGTTACAATGAGGTTGCTAATGTTATGTATGTTATGTATTGTATGTTAAAGTTGTATTCAATGAAAAAAGTCCTATTGGAGTTGAACTTGATTATTATCTGCAGTGTAAAGCTACTAAAAGCAGCAACTAAAAGAGATACTAATTCCTGTAAATGGTGGAGTACTAAGTAATAGGTTTCCAGCCGGATTCAAAAAAATGGCCGGATAGGCCGGATACCGGATAGTTGCCGGATATCCGTTCCACCACTAATTCACCACTTCTCTCTATCTTTGTTTAAGTCCATATGCAGAATAGAAGTTTCAACGCAACTGTATGGGCAATTGCACCTAAAAGTTCTTCTAGTGGCAAAAAGGTTTTGAATATTTGCTCGGATATTGATGTAGAACAATTTGACGACCGAATAGTAACAGTTATGCGCAAAATATAAGCTTTAGGCATCACTATATGCAGTAATTGCTACAATTTTTGCATACAAGCCAATCAAAAGCGCGTAAAGTTATCAGAACGCTCACTCAACGACCAGGCAAAAGAGGCTCGTTTGGGAATAAAATCCTTAAAACAAGAAGAAGAAGATATAAGCGCATATTGGACAGCTTTTTAATATAGAGGTAACAAAGGTTTTTTGTGAGGTTTGCACTTCCACTCACTCACGTGATTTTTAAACAGAATTTTGCCATTAGTTCAACAATATAATAGTTTCCGCTGTTCAAAATTTTATTTTCAACTTGTGCTTTACTCTTTATTCTGAAGATGCCTGCTAGGACAGGCGAAACATGTAAATAAAGAGACGTATTATATTTAATACAAGATTTTTTACTAACCAATAAAAGTGTAAACCTCACAAAAAAAAAACCTTTGTTACCTTTATATGTAAAGAATAAAAGTGTACAACAACCTTGCACTGAATAACAACTAATGTTATAACTAACACTAGACCGAGAACTAGAAACATTCGGGTTTAGCCCCACGTCTCTTAAGACGGCTAATTTTTTACTAACCAATAAAAGTGTAAACCTCACAAAAAAAAACCTTTGTTACCTTTATATGTAAAGAATAAAAGTGTACAACAACCTTGCACTGAATAACAACTAATGTTATAACTAACACTAGACCTAGAACTAGAAATATTCGGGTTTAGCCGTCTTAAGAGACGTGGGGCTAAACCCGAATGTTTCTAGTTCTAAGTCTAGAGATAATTCTACATTTAGTCCAATAAAGATATACAACAATCTAGCGCTGAATAACAACTAAAACTAGAACTAATACTAAACCTAGAACTAGAAAGTTTCGGGTTTAGCCGTGCGTCTTCAGACTAAACCGATACTGACATCATTTTCTGTATTACAAAAGAACAAAGGATGAACTAAATCTAAAATCTTCAAACACTTTCTAGAAATTTCTTAATAAAACTAAAAAAATGCTCATTAAAACTTTTAATGATTAAATAATGCGGTAGGTCAACAGTTTTAAACTCAAATATCCATTGAATAACTTCTTTTGTGTAAGATTTCCAGGAAGGACGACCAAAAAAGCGATATTGACACCTGTAGGTAAACCGAAAACCGTGATCCACAACTTCGAAATAATCGATTTACATCGATTTATCAATTTTATATTAAAATTTAATTGTATTCTTCTTTTAAAATTAATGAAAGATTATCTTTAAAAGAATTCCTTAAACAAATTTAATTTAAATCAACCGCCTTTTAAATATCTCGAATCTGATTGGTTCTAAAGGACCACACCACTTATCTTCCACCAATAAGAACGCCATCTGTGACGAAACGACAGTATTTATTGACATATCAGTCCCATTCAAACCTCAACAGCTGTAGTGCGCATTCAAACGCGGAATTGTGCGGACGTTCTTATTTTTATAACTGGTTATTTTTTACGATTTCGATTATTGATAAGTTGTTATTTCTTTAAAAGAATAGTTTCTTTTCCCATTCGAAGAAGAAAAAGTGTTTTAATAAACACGATGAATCTTTCGTTTGCTGGATGCGGTTTTTTGGGTATTTACCACGTTGGTGTGGCCGTGTGTTTTCGAAAATACGCGCCACATCTTCTTTTAGAGAAGATCTCGGGGGCTTCCGCTGGTGCATTAGCTGCGTGTAGCCTTTTGTGCGATTTACCAATAGGTAAGAAAAAAATTAAAATTTATTTTGACATCTGTCAAATTTTTGTTTTTTGAGGTTAGGTTAATTAAAAATTTTTCAATATCACAATTTTAATTTTAGTAAAAATTAGAAAAAGCGTTTGAGTTTTGAGTTAAATCAATTTCGACAACAGTTACGAGTCTTTTATGCTATAATTAAGCTAATTTTTATTTAATGTTCAGGATTTTTGAGAATTTAAGATAACTTTTAGGTTAATTTAAACCTAAATCAAGAGAAATTAAGGTATTTTTCGCTTAAGGTAAGAAAATTCACTTTCCATGTTACCCATAAATGAGGAAAGTTGGAAGTACACGCCATACAAAAAAACCGTGTTGAATATATTACTTTAAAAATGTACGGCTTTCCCGCCTTGACATATAATTGAACATATTATTCTAACAAAATAATTTTATCATAACAAACAAAGTGGGTGCTAAGACATTTAGAAGAAATAGGTATGTATTTTCCTTATAACTCCTTGTTGAACCTTAAAATCATGACTATTCAGGTCCATCGGCATGAATAGACTTCTGAATACAATTTCGACAAAAACAATTTATTCCAACATTCGAGCTAAGGATATGTCTTTCATACAGTTCTGGAAAACATTGTTTTTTCATAGTGAGCAATGAAATAGATTGAGAATCTTTCATGAGAAACTAGATTTGCTCCGTACAATGCTCAGGTCGCTTTAATTAACTTGATAAAACTTAAACATCTATAAATGACGATACGTAATAAAAGACATCTCTTACAGAGTGGATGTGGTCACAAATACTTTTTGGCTTCTCTTGGCCATCTTTTATCAACATTTTCCAGCAAGTTTGATGATGTATCTTGCTTTTCATCGAGATAACCATCCATTTGCTGCATTAAATTTGTTGTGTTCTAGTTTTATTGCAATTTCTGTTTTTAGTAACCACGCTTCTTCTGGATCTTTTCCATCAAGATTTCTTTTTGGGTATCTTATTTTTGGATCTTTTTGTTATGTCAATTCTCATGCCGATCATCTTCTTGTTGTAAAAAACACGCTACAGTTGACTTTGGTATAGTAATTTCTGCGAAATTGCAATGCTAACTTTTAATTTTGTCCAAATCCTTTCTCTGAATTCACTTTTTCAAAATTACCATCTATTATTTCACTTTGCTCACATTATAATGTTCATTTACGAGCATGATTAAAAAAAAAGAGTTTTTTATCGTGTTTTGCTTTCTTAATTTCAATCTAAGTGGTTATAATCTGTTTGTTTACTACTGTCATAGTAAAAAATTGTTTTTGATATCTTTTTAAGTTCGATTTGCGTCAAAGTCTTTATCGAGATTCGGAAAGAAAACAAACCGGACAAATGTGTAACCTAATTAGCCATTTTCGCGAGGTCATAGCAAATGTTAAATTAAAAACAAATCAATCATTAAAAACGTTTTTATATCAATGTCAAATAATTTTGTTAAGAAAAATATTAACAAATTGAAACGTTAAGTTAAAAAAAGAAATTTATATCGATGTTTCAAGAAATATAATTAAAATTGTTACAGAAAGAGATTGAAACCGAGATTAATCGCGATAAATAATATAAGCATAGTATTTATGTCCCCCATTATTATCATTATCACGAAGAAACATTGGGTCATGGAATGTGAGATTACAGAAGAGAATAAGAAAGTCTTTATCATTTTCAGTTTACTATGAATTGCATCTCATATAATAATTCTTTACGGGAAGAAACCTTTAAAAAAAATTCTTAGCACTTTTAAAACTAGGTCAAATCTCAAAACGCCAAACAACAAAAAATTTTCCAAAAAAGCTACAAACAATAAACATTGAGATCAAAACGGAAACATATACAGATAAAAGAGCAATAACACGCGAAACGATTTTAGATAAACGCTAAAACGACGTCATGTAAACAAAATACGTTTATAACTGATTATTTTTTATAACAAAACAAAGAAAAAATAAAGTTCTTGGAGTGCTTATAAAGATAAATTCTAGTGACGACATGCAAAACTCTAAATATAGTTTTTTGATATCAATAGCAGCTCAAGATTGTTCAGTTTTTTTTTCTAAGTTGCGATAAAAAGTTATATAGCAAAAGATTCGAAATCGCAACTTCATTTTATGCGTAATCACTTCCGAACAATTTTATTACGTAAATAAATTCCAAGGGCATCAAAACAACCAAAACGTCCACGTGTTATTTTTTTTATTATTAGCCGAATAAAAAAATAGAAATACTATAATTTTTATTAATTTAATTTTATTCGAGATTAAAAATGATAAATATAATGAATATAAAAATAAAAGCGATTATTTCTAATCGATTCAAAAGTCAATTAAACTTTGTACGATGAATCAAAGGTACAAATCGCCTTTTTATGATTTTAAAACAATAGATTTTATTATTAAAAAATTAATTTAAATTTATTTTTGTTTCTAGGAGATCTAGCCAGTGATGTCTTAAGAGTAGCAACGGAAGCTAGAAGTCGTTCATTGGGTGCGTTCCATCCAAAATTCGATATCCAACGAATCCTTTTAGACGGTTTGGACAAAATCCTTCCGGAAGATGCTCATTTACGTGTCAACGGACGTCTGCACATTTCATTAACACGCGTTCACGACGGAAAAAACATCATCCTGTCGCATTTTAACAGCCGCGAAGAATTAATGCAAGCAATCAACGCTTCGTGTTTCATCCCTTTATTTTCCGGTCTAGTTCCGCCATTAGTTAACGGCGTCAGGTACATCGACGGCGGATTTAGCGATAATTTACCAACGTTAGATGAAAACACCATTACAGTTAGCCCATTTTGCGGCGAAAGTGATATTTGTCCCAGAGATGATAGTATGCAGCTATTTCATGTTAGTTAAAGAAATTAATTTAAAATATTAATTAAGATTGAGAATTTTTTTTTCGTTTTAGATTAATGTCGCAAATACGAGTATTGAACTTTCAAAACATAACATCTATAGGATTGGAAGAATTTTGTTTCCGCCAACTCCGGAAATTTTATCTAATATGTGCAAACAAGGGTTTGATGACGCGCTTCGATTTCTTCATAGGAATAATTTGATCAATTGTACGCGGTGTTTGAGCGTACAATCGACCTTCCAAATTCAAAGTACAATTGATGATGGACCTGAATATGATCCGGAATGTCACGAATGTAGATTACACAGACAAGTAAGTAAAAACAAATTTAAATTGTAATAGGCTCAAATATTTACAAAATAACTTAAACTAACATTAAATCTAGAACTAGAAACATTAGGGTTTAGCCGTGCGTCTCTTAAGACGGCTAAATCCGAATGATTCTAGTTCTAGATCTTGTGTTAGTTCTAGTGATAGTGCTAGTGCAATACTAGAACTAACACTAGACCGAGAACTAGAAACATTCGGTTTTAGCCGAACGTCTCTCAAGACGGCTAAAGCCGAATGATTTTAGTTCTAGGTCTTGGGTTAGTTCTGATGATAATGCTAGTGTAAACGCACGGCTAAACCCGATACTGTCACATACAAAGAGACTGTAACATACAGTCTCTTTCTGCTGTAAAGTTTTTGAGCGTTTATCTTGATTCCGGGTTGTGCTGGGAGGAACATATTTTGATATTATGTAGTAAATTAAGTGGCAGCATCTATTTGTTGCGAAACCTGCTTTCGACCGTATCTCCACCAGTTTTACGCACAGCATACTTTCCGCTGTGTCAGTCCTCAATGACTTATGCATTGTTAGTCTGGGGCTCTGCTGCTGGTTATGAAAGCGTATTTAGAATACAGAGAAGGGCTATATGGGTATTAAGAAATTTAAATTATAGAGACGACTATAGAAGCTCCTATATTGATTTACAAATATTAACTCTACCGTCTCTCTACATTCTCGAATGTGTTACATATGTTAAAAAGAACATTAATAAGTTTGACACGTATAAACAGGTGCATAACTATGATACTAGGAAAAATAGCGATCTGATACCCAAATATACACGATTAACAAAATTCCAGAAAAGTGTGAACGCGTTGGCGGTGAAATTTTTTAATAAATTATTACAAAGGCGTACTACTCGAACTCCGAATATATGAGTGACAGTCTTGAGATGATTTCCACCTTTAGCAGTTAATGTTGTCTATTGTAATCTTATGTAATTTTATATGTTATTTTTTTTTTCTTTAATATGACACTACATATTATATGTAAAATTTGACAAGTGTGAACATATTGTATTGTATGTGTAACACAATAAAGATTATGAATTATGAATGACTGACACAGTTGATGTAAGTGGCATAAAACCGAATACGCATTTTACAAATTTACACTAAATTTGAAGATTCTGGGTGTAATGGTAGTAAAAAGTAGCCAACAAGCAATATTGGACAGCCGCAATGAGATACACCTTAGCCGAACATTTCAATTTCGCAAGAAACCCACAAACATGATATGTACGACTTATAAGAAGAACCCCTTTATAGTCCTACAGTAGCAAATTAACTGTAAATACTTGTATTCAAAGTTTCCACAACATAAAAGTGTATTTCTCATTCTAGAACCCTTTATCATGTAAATAAGCGAAATGCAACCTTGAAGTAATACTAAATTTGTTGCTGGTGTTCCGCAGGGGTATATCCTTGGTCTTATCTTATTTACAATCTATACCAGCAATTTCTTCTCAAAGTAATTTGATTCAAAACGATTCCCAACTTTCTATTGATTGTGAGTGAACCATAGCTTGTGATAAAACAACGAAGGATCAAGTCCCTTATATGTGGAGATTAAGAAATATGCTCTTTTGGACAAGACTGATGATATTAATATTAAGATGCTTGAAGTACAATTAATACTAACGAATTCAGTTAACAGTTTGGGTCATTGATAATCAGCCTACTTTTGATGATCATATTAATTTATTATGTAGGACCAAGAAACATATTGCGAGCAGTTCGTGCAGTTACACCATCTGCTCATATAGAATTTGAAACACATCGCGAATAGTTGGATGTTGACGTCTAAATAAAAACCAAATGTTTATTTAGACATGAGAGAATGTTACGTTTTGACGAAACGGATCAAATTCTTGCCTGTGCTTTCTACCACAATAGAATTAAGTTAGGCGTGGACACTATGGACTTATTAATCTAAATAAAGACTTGAAACTAAAAAATTGCAAATGTGTTCATTTAGTGTCCACTTTTAACATGTGCCTCAAACATGGAATATTCCTTGAGGAATTAAAAGTTGCTAAAATAGTTCCTGTATATAAAAAGGTAAATACTTTTCACAAAGAATTCGGCAGTTCGCATGTTAGATCGGTAAAGTTTCTGGGGATACATCTTGACGAAAAACTAAAGTGGTCAATACATATTGAACATCTGTCGAAGAAACCTAATGGCGCGATCTTCTGCATTCGTAGAATTCGTAGTATTAGTACCTTAGAAGCTGCAAAACTCATCTATTATGCCAACTTCCATAGCTTGATCGCCTACGGTATCCTCTTCTGGGGAGCTTCTTCGGCTGGCGAAAGAGCATTTACACTTCAGAAACGAGCGATAAGGGCATTGTTCAACCTGGGAGCAGAGAAAATTGTAGAAGTTATTTTGGTCAGTATAAAATACTTACCTTACCTTCATTATATATGTTCAACTGTATAAAGAACGAGCGAGACCAGAAATTATACCTTCTGCCAAAAAACTGTGATTTTTGGCACATACATCAAGTATGCCAATATAATTTGCATTAAATATAGCACTACAACCACTTCTTCTACTTGTAACCTCTCTGCAATTAAGATGTATACTATTTACAAAAGAAAAAATGAGCATACTTTAGCTACCAACATTTGGAACATAGAAGGTTCGTATTCCTTACTCGAAATTTATGGGTGCACTTAATACACAAATATCGTTAGTGAATTAGGGAAAATGTCGATCAATACTTCAAACATCTTGAATAATAAATCCTTCCAAATAGCAGCATATGCTGATGACATTAATATAATGGGAATAGCAATAATGACAGCGAAGAAGATATTCTATCAATAAATGCAGAGAAAACCAACGTTTTAACCCAAACATGCTCAGGCAGAACTCTGCAAAATCGATAGAAGATTGTGGTCTTCTGTTCTCATTTCAGCCTTTTTCATTGTTTCGACCTTGGTTCTCTCGCGTCGAAATTGCGATAAAAGCGTTTTCTATCTTTCTTTCGACTTCTTAACGAGAACAGTTGAAATTTGATGCCAATGCATTTCGTTTCATTTCTGTAACCTATCAATTTTGTATTCTATAATACTTCTAAATCTTGATATTTTTCAATTAATCTTAATTCAGAACGGATGTTAAATCAGTATAATATTAAATTAGCTTTTGTTTCTTTTGAAATATTTTTGTTTATTCTAATTAAGAATCTCATTAGATTATTAGTTTTAGATAAATAGAACGGTGGTAATCATGATTACCATGAAAAATGACTTTGTTGTAGACTTGGGGTGATTCCGTTTCAATATCGTCTAAATTTTTCTTTTATAATTATTTTATAGGAAGCTATGGTTTCAAATCTTCCGGATACAGTTCTAACAATTTTCCAAGAAGCGATCGATTCCGCAAATAAAGGTTTGGCGAATTGGATTTTCAAACACAGAGGGATGAAATTGTTGTCCGTTTTGAGTTTGCCGTACACGGTTCCAGCGGATGTGATGATGGCTACATTTACAAAGTGAGTAAACGTTTTCTTATTGCACCATTTTTTAACAAAAAAAAATAATAATAAACAAATTAGAAACGTGACTAACTAAAGTCTACCATGAGACTAACACTTTACAGGTCGAGTAGCATGCTTATACGACAAACATCTAGGTTCCTCTACTCTAACTAATGATAGATATTGAAAACTAACAAAAAAAGAATTAGATTAATTAATAAAAATAACTATTATAATTAATTGTTTAATTATTAGTGCTGTTGGGGAATCATATGAAAAGCACGACCTAGAATATAAGATAGTTACTAAGACGCTAATTGAGCAGACTAATCGCACGTGTGCATGCGGATCTAAACAACAACAAAATGATCAAAATCAACAAAAAGATCAATCGAATGAAAGGTGATTATTATTGGTGTTGGTTGTTTTTATTTCTTTAATTTTTTGTTGCTGGGTTTTTAAATATATTTGCATGAAAATCGATTTGTTGTTTTAATTCATTACTAACACTTTCACGAACCAAAAAAGCTTTTTGTTTGTGCGGTGATTGACGCTTTAAAATAAACAACAAAGTGTTTAATGAGAAGAATTGAAGAGATCAAATATTATTGTAGGCTCCTCGGTGCTGTGCCTAAAATTAGTGAAAAGCTGTGGGATATCAGCTCGTATTTCGTCAATCAAATCAAATTTGTGGCTAATAAAGTTACCACCAGCAAAGAAAGGCAAGAACAAGCTCAAAATCCGAGAATTATTAAGTCATGTAAGTTACCCATTTATAAATTTTTTTTTAGTTATTATTAAATTATTAAAAATATTTTAGGTACTGTAGATGTAGAAGATTCCTCATCTAAAGAATCATCACCAACACAAAAACCACCACCACAAGCACGTCATTTCACACGTAGATCAAGTTTAACAGTTTGTAGAACCGGCGAATACGCAGTGTATAATGATACTTTCGATAATATCGTTCAAGTGACCGCCAACCATGAAAGTATAATAAGTTATTATTATTTAGATGAAAATAGTAAAAAAGTAAAAGTAACTGAAATTTTCGACGTCACCGACAGCGATTCGCCAGTAGTTCAGAGTCAAAGAGAAAGAGAGTTAAATCAACAGTTAGAATTCGATGATGATTGGGAAGATACTGTTTGGTCAACTGGGAGGGAAGATTATCGCCAATTAGAAGACGAGGAAGATTGTACAAGTGGGGTTGAAATAACCCCCCTTGATGATGTTTTTGATAATGATAGTTCGAATATTTTTTCGGATCCTGAAAGCGAATGGACGTCGATGAAAACTACTGGTGATGAAATTGGCGAAAATTTGAGGTTCGATGATTTGAGGTTTGAAGATTTACGACCTGAATCAGATCAACCCAGTCCTGGGGAGGAACTTTTAAAACGACCGTACGAAGTCCCAGCGTTTACTTACACAGATCCTGGCGTTTAGATAAAAATTGTTAATAAGATTTGTTGATTTTGAACTGAAATTAACAACTGGTTACTTACTTTTAAGAGAAAAATTTACCAATGTATGTGATATTGTGAGATATTAAGATTTATTAAGATATTTTTTTTTTGAATAAGTATTATTCTGTGAACCTTATAGCGTTTTTACATGTATTTATAAAACAAAAATTAATTAATTAATATTAATGGTTAAATTAATTTAGTGCCATGATTTTTCTGTATAAAATATATTTTTTGGTAAGTAAAAATAAACAAAAAAAATAACAATAATATTATCCCAGTTATTTAGATATATTTGTCCCAACTTTGTTCTATTTCCCCGTTTTTATCTTTTTATACAATGTAAAAAATCTTATATTTAACCCCATTCTTTATTTAAAAATCATCAAAATAATCACGTAGACCAAATGTAAGCATAATTACTCTGCCAAAATGGCAAATAATTCAATAAAGGTTGACTAATAATCCCCATTAGTGGAATGTTATTCCCCAAACCTTTTAAAATGTTTTCAATGGGAGATTGGGTGTGTTTTTCATAAAATGGTGATCTTAAAATATACATTATTAATAATAGTGTTCTTTTAGAAAGTTGTATGCGTTGTTTTCTGGTCAAAGCACCACGTTTCATTTGCATACAAGTATAATATAGATGTAAGCTAAAATTTTAAATTAATATTAATTATTAAAAGATAATTCAATTAAAAGTTACCTTGTGATATCCATAAATAATGATAAAGTCCATGGTTTCCAAGTGTTATAACCAAAACAAGCTGAGCTGCATAAATGAATAATTGGCTTTGTGATGTATAACATTTCTGCAATAAACTGCCTCCCAGCAAGATCCTTTTCAAGGATACTATCAACTTGGGAATTTGAAACAACAGGATTCCAATCTCTAATTCTACTTAAATTTGAATCAACTTTTCGAATCACTTTTCCAGATTGTTTTAATGTAAATGAAGCAGACTCTACTTCTTTATTAACATCAACAGATTCTTCTTCAGTTAATTCTGGTGTTAAATTCATTCGATCCAAAATTGGAATTGGGGGAGATTGTATAATCTTTTCTTTATATTTTTTGATTAAAATAAATCTTGAAAGGCATCTAAAAACGACAAAAATACACGAATTGTTGTTATCTCCATAAATATATCTTACTTTATGATTTGAGTACAAACTACAATAAACCATCTTCCTTTATTCCCCCACAATTTCTGTCCAGATAATTCCAAAAACACCTCAGAGTACTCGAGAACGGTCATCCATTCTTTTAGTTTATTCCCATTTTCTAATGGCCCCAATAAATTTTTTCCTTCCCTTATTAAACGATCGTTAAAAAACACCAAAAGATTACTCAAACAATACACTAATTCCGAGACAATATGCGAATTATTAATTCTTCCTACAAAGGTCAAAGTAGGATAACCTCACTTTTATTTTTTTCGCTTTTTTACCTGCTATGAAGTAAGATATCCATTTCGCTGTGGTTTCGAAATCGCTACCTTTATCTGGATTCTTTATAATCCAATTCTTGTAGGAACGGTAAAGTTCCGAAAAGCTGAACATTATAAAAGACATGTTGAAAGTTTTCTTGATTCTTAAGATTAAAAACAAGTTGTATTCTGTTGTATTGATGAATACGAGTTACATCACGTTTTAATAGGGTACCGGCAATTATCAATAACTTAATTGGATGTATCTTAATAATCGGAACGGATCGATTAGGATTTAATCTAATATTTAAGTTAATTAGATGAGTTGTGATTTGTAGGTTAGAATGAAAGTGATGAAACGTCAGGTGGTTTAAAAATATTTAAAAAAAAACACTTTTATTATTAATTAAAGTTTATTTAAGTAATAAATAAAGACTTTTGTTAGTAGTTTAATAATCTGACAAGAAAATATAAAATTAATAATTAAAAATGTTGAAATTGATTTATTTTGTGTGCGTTGGCAAATATGAGATAAGAAACAAAACATTTCAAATTAACATTTATTCCTAAAAAAAGTTGATTTTAAATTATTTATTACGTTTTTTATTATTGATTTAAAGCTCCTCTTTTATAATTAAAAAAAAAACATTTATTATATGATTTATATTTATTGTAATTTAAGTTGGTACGATCAAAGCAAATGTCAATTTATTTCAATTTTAAACCTAACCTCAATTTTATTTCATTAGTTTTTAACCGTATTTCAATTAAATGCGAACATTTTTAATAAATTTGGTGGAATTTTACTACGTAAACGTTAACAGCTTTAATTTTTATACTTTGAGACTTTTACCTAACTTTTCATTGCGTTTATCTAAGAATAAAATGTCTTCAAATACGTAAGTAGATCAACTTTACTTTTTGAAGAAGATGTTAATGTTATTTATTTATTTAGCGACATAATACAATCCTTAAATACTCGATTAAGCAAAGCTGAAAGTGATGTTAAGCGATTAATGAAAGAAATTGCTTCAATAAAGGGGAGTATGCTTCAACTTGTAAATGAAAATCCTACATCTATGCATGTTAAAAGGGAATTTTCAACTGATGCAACAAATAATTTTGATGATGTGTTAGATACTCAACCTTCAAAGCGTTTTAAACAATCCCCCACACAAAGTGATTTTACATATAAGTCTGATCATGTTGTTGTTTATACTGATGGAGCTTGTGAGAATAATGGGAAAAAGAATGCTAAAGCAGGAATTGGAGTTTGGTTTGGAAACAACCATGCTTTGTAAGCTTTACATTCTAATATTAAATAATATGTATTTTATCTTTTTGTGTTTAGAAACTATTCAGCTCCTGTCATTGGAAAAGCCACTAATAATGTAGCAGAAATCCAGGCTTGTATTAAAGCTATAGACATTGTTTATGAGTTAGGAAATAAGAAATTATTAATAAAAACCGACTCTCAATTTGTTATAAACGCGATGACGTCTTGGATAGTGAAATGGAAGAAAAATAATTGGACCCTATCGACTGGTGGTGAGGTTAAAAATAAAGAGGAATTTATAAAATTGGACCAATGTTGTAATAAAATGGATTCAATTAAATGGGTAAAATTTATTTTCTTTAATACAAACTTTAAATGCAAAACGTTTCTTTTTTGTGTGTAGGAATATGTTGCTGGTCACAAAGGAATTGAAGGAAATGAGGGAGCTGATCAGTTAGCTCGAAAAGGGGCTTTAAATTATAGATAGTTTTAGTAAGAGTAAGATTATTAATAAATTCCACTTATTTATTTTTGAAATGTTTATTGAAATCTTATCATTGAATAATACAGTAACTATCCTGCAAGGGTTCAGAATCTAAAAATGTGGTTGTGGTTTACACCAAACTTTTTTAAGTGGCGCCCCAAAAATATCAATAAAATCTTAATGTGACCCATAAGTTAAAAGTGGGCATAATTACTGTTATTGAAAATGAAACCTAAATCTATTATTAAATATAGTATTTATGCGTTTCAGTGCGTCTCAGTTAATTTTGAGATATTCTAAGATCAGTGGCTTTTATGTTACTGCATTTAGTTTAACTACTTTATGCATCCTAGGTTCAATTAACTGATTTAATGCTATTCTCATTGTGGCATCTATTTAATGCTTTCTATTCTTAAAATATAAAAATATCAGTAAAGTAAGCAACCTTTATGTTGTTTTTGATGTGTTCTGGTAGTACAGTAAAAATTCGATAAATGCAACTCCTATAAACGCTACATTCTCTATTTGCAACTCTCTATAATAGCAACCAGTTTTAATTTCGTTAAATGACTTAGTTAACTTACTAAATTGATGAGAAATCAGTTAAATATGCGTGAAAAGGCTGAAATATTAATGAAATTACAAAACAATGCTAAAGTGAGTGATATTTGTAAATTATATAAAGTGAACAAAAGCACAATTTCACGTACAAAAAATAACAAAGAAAATGTCGAACATTTTTTGGCTTAAAGTTTTGAAAAAACTAATAATGAAACGAATTATGAAACGAATAAAAAAAGTATTGTTTTCGGATATTGAAAGATCGTTATATACTTGGTTTTTAAATGAAAGAATTAAGAATAAAGCTATCGAATTTTATAGAACTTTTAATTCAAGTATAAAATTTTAAGCCAATCTAGGTTGGATATAAAAATTTAAAAGACGTCGTGGTATAATATTATTAAAAATTAGCGAAGAAAAACTTTCCGCAAATCATTCAGCTGTTCCTGGGTTCATTGAAAGTTTTGGTGAAAAATAAAACATTGGTGATGAAAGATGAAAAAAGGGCTCCAGGTAGAAAAAAATCAAAAGAAAGGGTAACAATTATGCCACAATCATGCAAACACGCCCTTCATTGGACCCCAACCTGGTTGTGGACTACAAAAAAGCCACCTAAAACAAATAATCAACAGTTGGGAGGTCTCAAAGGTAGCCTTACGCTGGAAAGAATTTAGAGTATGATAACTCCGTCGCAAAACAAAACCAAAAAGGACGCTCTCAGGTTACCTGACGCCCCTAAAATACCACCTCTTTCACATTGGACAAACTGAGGATCAAACTTGTCGACTTTGCAACGACGACTCAGAAAAAGCTGAACATATACTGTGCAATTGCGTCGTCAGAGGCCGTCTAAGACACAACATTTTTTGACACCTACTGACATAAAGGTTCAAGATCTCAAGGCAATACTAAGGTTCATCAAGGACCTACATATAATACATACATACAATTATTGTATGAATTTATCTCTTAATTGTTACCTCTCTTGTCCGTGGCAGACATATTAACATTGAGAAATATAAGAGAAAATGTAGTCTTATGTAAAATTAGAAAATGATTAATTTTTATCATGTTGCTTTTTGTATTATGTACTGTTATACATAGTATGTATCAGTTTAAATCAATGATAAAGTTTGTAGCTTAATAAAAGATATGATTTTTTTTGAATTGTAATATTTTAATAAACTCAATAAAAATTAAATAGAAGATCTCTTTCTATGTTATATGTGCATTTAACGTCAGTAAATTGCACCTTGTATTTAAATTTAATAATTAATTCGATAAAAGCAATGTTGCAATTATCCAATTTTTATTGTAGTACATTTTGATCATTTAAGAGTATTTCTTCAGTCAAAAAATCTTTTCAGTACCTTCCCCCTCGAAAGCCTTCTCACAATAAAGCGAAAACTTATTTTATAAGTCTCACAATTTTATAATTTTTACGCAGTGATCTAAGCTGTGTCTAATTTTTTGTTTATATTTTTGCATACCAACTGTTCACGATGAAGAATGCAGTGGGGTTTTATTATATTTTTATGCGATAATTGCCCAATTTGTGTACACCATACATTTATTCCAAGGAATGACTCAATGTATGAATTTATGGCATCAAAAACTTTGCAAGATATAGTGTAAGATTGTAGTTTTAAGGTGCATAATTCTTCTTTCATGTCCTCCAACTCAAAATCAATACATCTTACGTATGCTATCAACAACTGTAAGGCATAATATGGTGAATGTTCCAATTGATCAATCTGCTTACTGTTTCAGCAAACATAGGAATATTACTAATTTACATATTCTTCTCCAAACATTTCTTGACTAACTTCTTTGAAATATGGTTTTATTAGTACTTCTCCTATATTGCACGCATTTTTGGTCTTAGCAATATGCAATGCTAATCTGTTCCAACATATTTAGTCAAACTTGATTTATTCGCGTTCAATTCTTTAAGTTTTCTTTTAAAAAAGTTTAGTGGTCTATCTTTGTAGTCAATATGGTTCATATGTAAATGTCTTAAAAGTTTATTGGATTTTATAGATGAGTTTGCTAAAACAGTTCCACATACAACACATTGTAGTAAATCAATATTGTCTTCTTGTATACACGTAAAGCCGAAATTAATATATATATATATATATATAATATAAGGGGATATATAATATAATTTAAAATTTATTTAAGATAATTTTTGATATTTATTTTATTATTTAGATGTATAAAAGTGCATTCTTTAAAATTAATTTTTTTTTGATACAAGATAAGAAATTTCAAATCTTTCCTATCAGATAAAAATTCATCTTTATAATAATATCACTCGTTTGACGTATTTTGCACTTTTACAATTTTAGTTACGCTTGATAGATTAGCGTATTGTTTAATAACGACAGGTTTATCACATCAGATTGTTTAAAGCAGTCCCCCCCAGCGATGTAATCAATATTGTTTCTTAAAAATGAAAACCAGTAACCGTTGCTTTCAAGTAAAAGATTCTTTTTGTGTATAAAAAGATATTCTATATATTTTGTGATTTTAGTTCGGTGGTGTTCTAACGAAACTAATCCCTTATTTTATCGCCGTTGTGATTTATTTCACTGATTTTATTCCAATAGAAAGTGATATTGTAGGAATTGTTATAAAATGTTTACCTATTTGGTGTCTAATAATTTTCGTTGGTCTTCACACAATTAACTATGAAAAAGAGTAAGATATATAATTTTTAAATTTGTATTAAAAAACTTTTAATTCATTTATTTGGGATAGGTACAAATGGTTCTGTTACATGGTAATGTTTGGTTTATTATTTGGTTCGCTCGGTGATGCGCTTTTATATATTGGTAATTTCATAGAAGGAGCTGCATCTTTTGCAGTTGGACACATTTTCTATATCACCGCTTATGGGTGGAATCCGAGAGCGTGGATTTTTGGTGTAATTTGTTATGCTTTGATAATCGGATGTAAATCAAAATTTGAAATGAAATTTAGATTATTAATAATTATATTATTTATTTTATAGTATCAATTTATATAATACCATATTTAGATGGTTTCTTAATCGTTGGTTTACCACTTTATGGAGCTATAATAGTTACAATGTTATGGAGAGCTAGCGCTAGGATTTATCTGAAAAAAGATTGGACCATAACGAAATGGTTTGTCGTTTTTTGTGCTATTAATTTCGTTGTTTCAGATGCTTTTATTGGAATTGACATGTTTGTTACTGATATTCCTAACAGTCACGTAAATATCTTTATTATTTAATTTTTTTTCTGTGTTGAATAAAACGATATGTTTTATTTTAGTATATTATCATGTCAACTTATTATGTTGCCCAACTTGGAATGGCTATCAGCGTTTTAGATCCAAGGATACCAGAAAAACATAAAGATATTGGTAAATGCACGATTTTTTATTGTTAGAAATATGAAGTAATAAAAAATACAAATAAAATAATTGTTGCCTTTTACACATGCCTTTCGACCCATCAGCTTAACGCCATTTCTATTGAAAATCTTTGAAAAAGTGGCACTGGTATCTGAGTCACCACCAGTAGACCTATCAAGCGGGAAAGTCAAAGAATTGGCTCTAAACAGCTTGATTGGTACAGTACCCAGGACGCTCCAGGATAAAGAGATCTCGGTTTATGCGTTTCTGGATATAGAAGATGCGCTCAACAAGGCAATACCACAATCTCTTGAAAGAGTTGCTCTACACAGAGGAGTGGAATCAACTATAGCGCTTTGAGGTCGCAGTGTAAGGTTGGTGGAACGGATATCCGGCAATTTTTTAAAATTGTTTCTTCTTTCCAATCAACCAACCCGTTTTGAAAAATAGCATTTAGTTTTTGAGAAAACAATATTTGAAGTTTTGATAAAATTGCAATTTTCATCGATTATTTTCAAAATTCGCTATAAAATTCATTTCTTGAAGGATTCTTGTGGAAATATCACCAATTATTAATTAAAATATCCTCTTTTTAATGCAACAAGCCGTTTTGAAAAACCGCTTTTAGTTTTTGAGAAATAAATGTTTGAAATGATCGACAATTTTTTCGAATTTTGCAATTTTCGCCGATTAAGTTTAAAAATTCGTATAAAATCCATTTTTTGGAATATAAGTTTGAAAATTTCCCAAAGTGTTAATACAAGTGTCTTCTTTCCAATGCACCAACCCGTTTTGAAAAATAGCATTTAGTTTTTGAGAAAACGATATTTGAAGTTTTGATAAAATTTTCGATGTTGCAATTTTCATCGATTATTTTCAAAATTCGCTATAAAATTCATTTCTTGAAGGATCCTCGTGGAAATATCATCAATTATTAATTAAAGTATCCTCTTTTTAATGCAAAAAGCCGTTTTGAAAAATCACTTTTAGTTTTGGAGAAATAAATTTTTAAAATGATCGACAATTTTTTCGAATTTTGCAATTTTCGCCGATTAAGTTTTAAAAATTCGTATAAAATCCAGTTCTTAGAATATCAGTATGAAAATTTCCCAACGTGTTAATAAAAGTGTCTTCTTTCCAATGCACTAACCCGTTTTGAAAAATAGCATTTAGTTTTTGAGAAAACGATATTTGAAGTTTTGATAAAATTTTCGATGTTGCAATTTTCATCGATAATTTTCAAAATTCGCTATAAAATTAATTTCTTGAAGGATCCTTGTGGAAATATCACCAATTATTAATTAAAGTATCCTCTTTTTAATGCAAAAAGCCGTTTTGAAAAATCACTTTTAGTTCTTGAGAAATAAATTTTTGAAATGATCGACAATTTTTTCGAATTTTGCAATTTTCGCCGATTAAGTTTTAAAAATTCGTATAAAATCCAGTTCTTAGAATATGAGTATGAAAATTTCCCAACGTGTTAATAAAAGTGTCTTCTTTCCAATGCACCAACCCGTTTTGAAAAATAGCATTTAGTTTTTGAGAAAACAATATTTGAAGTTTTGATAAAATTTTCGATGTTGCAATTTTCATCGATAACTTTCAAAATTCGCTATAAAATTCATTTCTTGAAGGATCCTCGTGGAAATATCATCAATTATTAATTATAGTATCCTCTTTTTAGAGTTGCTTCGTTAGTTAAATCAGTATCATAAAAGTTCATTTTGTATCTTGGATTCAAATAAGTTGACATATCTTATCAGCTTTCTTATTAATTTCATTTTTATTCAAATATCGCAATAATGTGGCAATATAGAGTATCACTTCAGAAATTATAACCATAATGCCGAATATCCGGCATCCATCACTAGTTATAACTAAATAAAAAATCGTAAACATTAAAAACATTTATTTTTTTAACCATATCGTAAATTTACGAACTATTCATAAAATACTCTTAAAAACTACAAAGTCTGGAGTAAATCGCCTCAATGCTATTCTAATATCTATTGTACCATATCATCTAGGAGAAGTTTATAAAGTAATCAAAAATAAGGAAGAAAAATTATTTTAATCACAGATAGTGCAGTCCAAATTAATAAAATTGTTTTAAAAAATTAAAATAGGAAGACAATTATTTAATGTATTTCTTTTCTAATTCCGATTAGGAAGACTGCAATTAATTAACCGAATGAACTAACTATCGTTATTTTTAACTATTTATTGAGCTATTTCTTGATACTTAAGCTTTCCTGATCTTACTGGAATCCCTAGGATCAACCACACTGAGTGCTATACCCAACTGAGCCGCATAATATGTTGTCATTATCAACGCCTAAAATAAAATAAGAAGCAATTTAATGTTTTATAAATTATTATAAAAAAAATTTACCTGGCTGTGAGGAACCGGAAATTTAAATCGATCAAAAGCTAAAATTCCATCCGACATAAGAAAACTAAACGCTCCCAAAACCGTAAATAATTTACTCCAACTAAAAGGCTCCTAAAAAAATTTATTATTATTCTTTTTTTAACTTGATTGAACATATATACCCTCTTGTTAAGCCTCGAGGCAGCTCTCCAAAACATAGTCGTAATAGCAACTGAATAAATTGGAACGGCGTAAACTAACATTCCATTAAGACCAGGCATCATGTAAACAACAGCTGAAATATCGAAAAGTAAAAAAAAAATTTTGAATCACCTCCAAGTTTTCAAATATTGAGGGAAAAAAATGGTTTTATAAATAACTTACATCCGATTGAAGTAAGATATAAAGCGAGGCCAAGCTTCATGTTGAGGGGTTTAAAACCGAACGCTTGGATATAAAAAGTATGACCAATTCCAAAAGCTAACATTCCCAATTCGAAAAATGTTCGACTATGTGACCACACAAGGCAAGCGTCTCCAATACACGAAAACGCTAAACCTAAAAGGATTTTTCGTCCAAACCATTTATGTCTAAAAAAAATAAAGGTCAAAATACAAATTTATTTTTGTAGTGCGTGAGATTAAACATCACGCAAACGCTGTATTAAATCATTTCCGAATACGATTTACATTTATTTACCTTTGCTCTAAAGTTCTGGTGTAGAGAACAACGAAGATCATCAAACTTATAATGGGTAAACATTTTAAAGTTGCCGCTGTAATGCTAGGTTGACCAAAAGGGATGTAAATCACGAAATAAATCGCGACAGTTTTTAAAAATGGAACTAGCTTTGGACCAGCCGATTTTAACTAAAAAATGTAATGAAAGAATCTTCAAATTTAATGTTTTTAATGTTAATTGCATGATTAACGCGAATAATTTTTTTTAAATCTGTCAAATTAAAAAGTTAACTGTCAAAACAACATTTAATATGCAATTTATACCGGGAATTTTATGTAACTCGCAATAATGAATGCAGTAACCATAGTTACGAAATTACTATGTACTTGCATTGTTCTACATAATATACAACATACCTTAATAGTACAGGTATTGGGTAGGTTTTGCAAAGGAAAAGTTTTGCTTGGAAAAAGGTGACGTCTTATGATAACCCTGAGTTTTGGTTCTAGGTCTATTGTTAGTTCTACTTTTCGTTGAATAAAAATATACTACAATCTATCGTAGAATAACAATTAAAATTAAAACTAACACTAGACTTAGAACTAGAAACATTCGGATTTAGCAGCACGTCTCTCAAGACGGCTAAATCCGAATGATTCTAGTTCTAAGTCTTGTGTTAGTTCTAGTGATAGTGTAAAATTAGATCTAACACTAGACCGAGAACTAGAAACATTCGGGTTTAGCCACACGTCTCTCAAGACGGCTAAACCCGAATGATTCTAGTTCTAGGTCTTGTGTTAGTTCTAGTGATACGGTAAAATTAGATCTAACACTAGACCGAGAACTAGAAACATTCGGATTTAGCCGTACGTCTCTCAAGACGGCTAAATCCGAATGATTCTAGTTCTAGGTCTTGTATTAGATCTAGTGATAGTGCAATACTAGAACTAGGACTAGACCATAAACTAGAAACATTCGGATTTAGCCGCACCTCTCTCTAGACGGCCAAACCCGATTGATTCTAGTTCTAGGTCTTGTGTTAGTTCCAGTGCTAGTGCAATATTAGAACTAACACTAGACCGAGAACTAGAAATATTCGGATTTAGCCGCACGTCTCTCAAGACGGCTACACCCGAATGATTCTAGTTCTAGGTCTTGTGTTAGTTCTAGTGATACTGTAAAATTAGATCTAACACTAGATCATGAACTAGAAACATTCGGATTTAGCCACACGTCTCTCTAGACGGCTACGAATCCATCGGGATTCTAGTTCTAGGTTTTACTAGAGGGCATTTTCGATGTTATAATAAGAATTATGAATTTTCTTAGAAAAGTTAAAGCTATTGGTATTACTTTTTTTTTCAAGAAACAAGCTAGTGAAACCTCGATATCTTGTTTCTAACCTAAAATATCGGTGAAAGAAGATTTAATGAAAAAACTCAATGGATTTTGATCAATTGGTCAATCTATAATTGATTGACCATGATGATAATTGATAATCTACGAAAAAGTCGAGCAAAAGTTTCTGGTAAGTGGCCATTCCTATCTCACTTGCGACAGAGATATTGCCCAAATAGAAAAAGAGGCCATCTTTTAATGTAGTCTATATGCAAAAAAACGATTTCAAGGATTTTCAGAACATGATAGATGAATATCTGAATACAATAATCTACAAATTTAACATGTAGTCTGGATTAAAATTGAACAAAGGCAACAAACCTCAGTAAAAACCAAGAGGACCTTTTCTGAGTTGGAAACATGGATAACTTGTAATGTCTAAAAAAAAGGAAAAAGGACGAATGGCATTTTTCATGCAGTGGTTTTCGAACTCAACTGCACAAATCGCATTTCAGCCGAGAAACGTAAAAACATGCTAGTCTACATTCCATTGAAATATAATCAGTTTTATGAAGACCTCATAGAAAGAACAGAATCGCAGCAAAAGATTCCTTGGATATAGACCCTTTTTCGCCTTCTTGCCCTCGGCAATTAAAACCTTCTAGCAGTCGTCGTTAATGTTTTTCATGTAAGTTTTTATATATTTTTTATGTTTTAGACATATTTTATGCAATATCTCAGTTTAATTTTTTTGGTACTTTCGAATTTCTACTCTTGAATTACCGATTTTGTTAGAAGGTGTGCCATTGGAAACACGGCAAAATTTGTTTTTACAACTGGATGGTTGTCCAGCACATTTTGCTATAAATATGAGAGGCCATCTCGATGAGTCGCAGGAGGAAACCTATTTCCATGGCCAGCCTGATCCTCAGACTTAACTTGTTTGGATTTCTATTTATGGGAGCCGTTAAAAGACATGGTGTTTCAAACTCAACCTACAACCAGATAAGACATGGAAAATAGGATTCGGAATTGAAGGCGTAGTTTTTTTCCACAAAAGAGAGGTTCCAGCAATGCCTAGAACGTGATGGACAGCAATTTCTGCATTTAAGGAGGCATTAAAAAAACTTTTTGAAGTTTGGACCAATTTCTTTCGGACAATTAGTTTTACAAGTATTATGTGTTTAAAATTATGTTTATTTTTGTCAATATGCCAAGTTTTCTAATTGGACTACAAATCTTTTGAAGGAAGGCATTTTGAAAAAAATAAAAAACTGAGTAGTAGAAACTCTACATTGAGTAGTTTCCGAGATAGAGTACTTTGCACACTTATTTGGCCACTCTGTACTGTTATTTATTAATGTCTGAATTTTGAAGTCATTAATGTTAAATTAAATCAAAAAAAAATATGTTGGTAACCACGACTATTTTTAGTACAATTATGAGTGAAATACATATAAAAATAAAATAGGTTGGGAACAATGAAGTAAATTTTCAATAAAATAAATTGTTTTTTTAAAAAGTTATAAAGATTACTTTATCTGAGCAACTCTCCTTAAATAAATTAATAACAAAGCGATTTCTGCGAAACAAAGGGAATTCCCTACGAGTTTTTTTATTCTCGTTTAAAAAAAAATAAAATTCTACTTGAATATTATCGACGTATCATTCCCTAAGTGAAATCAAGTAGATAATGAAATACAAGTACCATTGAAAATGATAACAAAAAAAGAACATCCTTTTATAATTTCGAATGAAATTCAATCTTTTGATGGATTTTATTAAAAATTAAAAAAAATAATTATAAAAATACCCACCGCATCAGTAACTTCTGTCATTTTTCAATAAAATCCTTTAAACAAACCTTTTTTAAAATACAAAGTGTAAATAAAAAAATGAAAAAAATATAAACAGTCGATATGGAAGCCACACACAATCCGTTTTGGTTCGGTTATAAAACGAGACTGGGATTATACACAATACAGACAACGTTTCTCGTCGAAAATTCTATTCATTTCACGCATGCTCTCCAAATAAACAGCGCTGGATTTTCACGATTTTCACTAAACGGTTTTAGATATCGCCTTCAAAACATTCTAAAATTGTCGTTAAACGTTAGTAACGTCCGGAATTTATAACATAGATGATTTAAAATTCAAAATCGATAAGAAAATGTCGAATCGAACGGAGTCCTGGTCTGCGAAACGCGAAAGTAACGACCATTCAAGGTCAAAATGAATTGAGAGAAAGAATTATCGAGTTGCACAATAATTTATTTTATCAATTTTATCACAATCTTTTTCGTTGCATTTTGATTTTACATTTTTTTTTAACCTTGTTCGGGTTGCCAATTAATAACACTTAATAATCTATCCTTTAATATCTGTAATTCCTTATCACTCCCAACGTATAAAGTTGCAATTTCATCGTAATAGTTTTCGTTTACATGTTTTCTTAACATTGGGTGTTCACACAAATGTACTAAACACTTAAATAAAATTAAAATTTAATTATTATGTGTATACATTTTGTTTTGGGCAACCGGTTGAGAGAAAGTGAATTCGAAATTTCTTTTAGGCAACATTCTAATACTTTCTTTTCTATAAAATACTGCCAATATAATTCATAATGAGTATATAAGAGTTCAATTATATATTGAAATTGGTTAAAATGAGTCCATAATGATTTGGCGCATTGATAGTTACATTAACTCAGCTCCAAGCAGTAGAATCTTGATTAGAATGTAACAAGAATATAAAATTCGAGATATATGTCCAGGCAGGACTGGGACAAAGTGGAAAAGATAACTATAGAGATGTTAGAACATGAGTTATTGAAGTGCTGCGAAACAGAAATCAAGAAATTCAAGTTTTAGAACACAATGAACTTACCAGAAATAGCAAAATGCGTTGGAACAGAAACTGGGCAGAGAAGAAAGATGTTGGTAGTGGAAGGAAGAGATTCTCAAATTAATCTGGCTAAACTCAGACATGGGACTTAATATCAACAAAAAAGGAAATGATTCAAGAAATGGCAGCTGTTCAAGGATGCTAGTCCAACCTGACGAAAGAAAAGCTATACTTACGAAGACAAAACGGGAATAGCCGTCCTACGTGTTGGTAAAGTTTATGTCTCAGAGATTATGACCAGACACCAAGAGGATAATTTAAAAGGGCTCATAGAACTCGAATATTTTACTAACAACATCCTGCTTCGACCCATCGTAAGCGCAATTAACTCACTTTTGTCGCCTTCTAGAGGAAATTCATAAGTTAAGGATTGATCAATACTTCTTTAGAAAGCTGTTCGAGGAAACGGTTTTAGAAAGAAAGAAAATAAAGTTATGTTAAGTTAATTTCTCCCCTCGTCTTCTTCCCTGTCTAGTCCCATTCGAGCTTCTCGATACCTATGCGTCTGAGAGTAAAAGTGCAAGAGAGCAATATTGTTAATCATAAAAATTGCTACATGTTTTGTTCTAAAAGTTTTTTTGTAACATGCTCAAATTCCCCAGTGTTACCATCAACCATATGAAAAAACAACAAATTCGTCAAATTTTCACATTTTCGTATATTCCTTGATATCTATGCCTCTGAGAGCAAAAGTGCAAGGGAGCAATATTGATGAGCATGAAATTTGCTACAAGTTTTGTTCTAAATGTTTTTTTGTAACTAGCTCAGATTCCCCAGTGTTACCATCAACCATTTGAAAAAACAAATAATTCGTGAAATTTTCACATTTTCGTATATTTCTTGATATCTATGCCTCTGAGAGCAAAAGTGCAAGAGAGCAATATTGATGAGCATGAAATTTGCTACAAGTTTCGTTCTAAATGGTTTTTTGTAACATGCTCAGATTCCCCAGTGTTACCATTAACCATTTGAAAAAATAACTAATTCGTCAAATTTTCACATTTTCGTATATTTCTTGATATCTATGCCTCTGAGAGCAAAAGTGCAAGAGAGCAATATTGATGAGCATGAAATTTGCTACAAGTTTTGTTCTAAATGTTTTTTTGTAACATGCTCAGATTCCCCAGTGTAACCATCAACCATTTGAAAAAACGAATTCGTCAAATTTTCACATTTTCGTATATTTCTTGATATCTATGCCTCTGAGAGCAAAAGTGCAACAGAGCAATATTGTTGAGCATGAAATTTGCTATAAGTTTTGTTGCAAAAGTTTTTTTGTAACATGCTCAGATTCCCCAGTGTTACCATTAACTATTTGAAAAAACAACAAATTCGTCAAATTTTCACATTTTCGTATATTTCTCGATATCTATGCCTCTGAGAGCAAAAGTGCAAGAGAGCAATATGAATGAGCATGAAATTTGCTACAAGTTTTGTTTTAAATGTTTTTTTGTAACATGCTCACATTCTCCAGTGTTACCATCAACCATTTGAAAAAACAACTAATTCGTCAAATTTTCACATTTTCGTATATTTCTCGATATTTATGCCTCTGAGAGCAAAAGTGCAAGAGAGCAATATTGTTGAGCATGAAATTTGTTACAAGTTTTGTTGTAAAAGTTTTTTTGTAAGATGCTCAGATTCCCCAGTGTTACCATCAACCATTTGAAAAAATAACTAATTCGTCAAATTTTCACATTTTCGTATATTTCTTGATATCTATACCTCTCAGAGCAAAAGTGCAAGAGAGCAATATGAATGAGCATGAAATTTGCTATAAGTTTTGTTCTAAATGTTTTTTTGTAACATGCTCAAATTCCCCATCAACCATTTGAAAAAACTAATTCGTCAAATTTTCACATTTTCATATATTTCTTGATATCTATGCCCCTGAGAGCAAAAGTGTAAAAGAGCAATATTGTTGAGCATGAAATTTGCTACAAGTTTTGTTGTAAAAGTTTTTTTGTAACATGCTCAGATTCTCCAGTGTTACCATCAACCTTTTGAAAAAACAACTAATTCGTCAAATTTTCACATTTTCGTATATTTCTTGATATCTATACCTCTGAGAGCAAAAGTGCAAGAGAGCAATATGAATGAGCATGAAATTTGCTATAAGTTTTGTTTTAAATGTTTTTTTGTAACATGCTCAGATTCCCCAGTGTTACTATCAACCGTTTGAAAATACAACTAATTCGTAAAATTTTCACATTTTCGTATATTTCTTGATATCTATGCCTCTGAGAGCAAAAGTGCAAGAGAACAATATTCTTAAGCATAAAATTTGCTACAAACTATATTCTGAAAGTTCTTTTATAACATGCTCAGATTCCTCAGTGTTACCATCAACCATTTGAAAAAACAACTAATTCGTAAAATTTTCACATTTTCGTATATTTCTTGATATCTAAGCCTCTGAGAGCAAAAGTGCAAGAGACCAATATTGTTGGACATAAAATTTGCTACAAGTGTTGTTCTAAATGTTTTTTGTAACATGCTCAGATTCCCCAGTGTTACCCCAGCATTGTTGTCCTACTTGTTGGCAAAGTTGATGTCTTCGAGATTATGAACAAAAAGAAGTGATTTGACATAAATACTTGTATAAATACTGGGTCCAGACACCAAGAGAAAAAATTATTCTTAATCCGGATGTGAAAGTAGAAGAGGAGATTAATAATTTGCAGCGATGGATGGAGAATGCTACACTGTACATACATAGTAGAAATTATCATTTTTGAACAAAAGTATTTAGAAAAAGGCCACGCTGATATACAGTATGTCTTAAACTAAGTTCAAACATCTTAAGCTTAACACTTTATATACACTTTAAATTTTTGAGTTTATGACGTCAATAAAAAGTTGAAAATGTTTACGTTTTCATTTCTCATCCGTTTGCCCAAAAATATTTCTTATATCTTCACATACATAAATGATATAAAATTTCTAAGCTTAAAAATAAGATTTGATTCTTACCTGTAAACAATGCATTTGTGTTGGTGGATTATAATAATCATGTAAAAGGCAAACTAAACGATCTGATAAATGCACAACTTTTAAAGCTTTTATTCTCGCTGCCGATTTTACCGTTGCAAACATTATAGCTTCAAGTGCAGCTTGATACAGTTCAAGGATCTGAAAAATAAAAATTTCTATGATTAACTTACTAAACAAAAAATATTAATCACCTCTGAGTGTAATAATTTATTTAAATAAATCAAAACATCACATCTATAAGCCAAATCCCTTCCTTCGGCCGTGTTAAAAAGCGTCGCTAAACATTTTAAAGCGGCAACTTTTAAAGGAACACTTGGAGATTGGGATATACACATTAATATATCGAAAGCTTCATAATCGAACATTTCTTCCATACCATCGCAAGTGTTCATTAAATTGTTAAGAGCCCGCAATAAGATTACCACGATTTCTTCACAATCTTTTGATACGCAGTCTAAAATGATTGGAACGTAACCGAAAGATACGAGTTCTTCGGCGGCTTTCCAAAAATCTGAGACCACTTCAACTACAGTTGCTGCTTTTATACGAACGGCGTTTTCGACGTCATCGAGAGTTAATGCTAAATAGTATAAAAGCTTTGGATGACGAACGATTGCTTCTTTTCCATCGGCGAGTTCTGCTAAAACTGCTAAAACCATACAAGCTCGTTCTCTAATTACAGGGTTTTCATGATTTAATAAATCAGTTATTCTAGTAGATGAAAATATTTGAATTTTAAAATAAATACATTTTTGATTTTGTACATTTACCTATCTGGTACGCGTAGTGTTATTGCTTCAGCTCCGCGTTCTGGGTTTTTTAATAAATCAATGAATGTTGTAAGAGCTGCTATGACAATGATTTCATCGGGGTGGTGAAGTTCTCTACGCTACATTTAAAATTTACGAATTACAAGAAAATTTATATTTTAATGATTATACCAATTTTGGCATTGCCCATCGTCCGAAACCTAAAGGTCTTCGAAGCACGTCAACATTTTGGACGGGAATACAGGGTTGTTCTGAAACTAACCGATGCCAAGGCGGTTCAAAATCTCCGGAGTCAACTGTTAATTGACATCGAGCTAAAAGAAAATTGTGTTGAAAAAAAATTAATTAAGAAACATTTTAGCTACCTAAATCGACGGATCTGTTAATGATTCTTGGATTCATTCCGCTGCAATGAAGCTGGAGATAAGAATTTTTATGCTCGCTAAACATTTTTGTTGCTTTATTGGTTTAGATTTATAAAAAAATTATTTTAAAATTGACACTAAAACTGTTTATAGGATGATAAACTTGACAAGCTTGTTTATTTCAATTAATCAATTGTTGCCAATTGATTTGACAATAAAGTTATTTGATGACAAGGTTTTATAACCTATTTATCAAGTTTGACGTACAATTTCACAGCCGACTACTGAATTTTCGATGATTTTAAGTAGCATTAACGAAATTCGTGTCTTTAGTTATTTGAGTTTTTTATGAAAACGACAATGTTTTTTAAAAAATAATAAGAGTAAAAAAAGATTTAGAATTAAATTCCACATGAAATCAGGTAATAATGTGTTAAATCCACCAAAAGGTTAAAAAATCTGTCAAAATTTAGGGGACCATCACCCGTAATCAACAATTTCAAATGCCTCAATTGGGCTTACCTTGCTACCAATTAATACTCTCGGTACACTCATAACGTATACCAAATTTGGTCTTTCTAACTTAATGTATTACGAAGATATTCAATGTTATAAAAATTTAAGACCCAACATTGAAGGCCTATAACTCCTCAAGAGTACAACTTAGTATAGAGATAAGTTGTGTTAAATCGTCTTAATTTATTGTCCTCTACATGTCCCTGTTCTGTGTCGGTTTTTATGTGAATCGCCCTGTATATTTTGATATCTATGCGTCTGAGAGCAAAAGTGCAACAGAGCAATATTGTTAGACAAAAAATTTGCTACAAGTTTTGTTGAAAAAGTTTTTTTGCAACATGCTCAGATTCCCCAGTGCTGCCATCAACAACTTGAAATACAACTAATTCGTCAAATTTTCACATTTTCATATATTTTTTGATATCTATGCGTCTGAGAGCAAAAGTGCAAAAGAACAATATTGTTAAGCATTAAATTTGTTANGCAATGAAGCTGGAGATAAGAATTTTTATGCTCGCTAAACATTTTTGTTGCTTTATTGGTTTAGATTTATAAAAAAATTATTTTAAAATTGACACTAAAACTGTTTATAGGATGATAAACTTGACAAGCTTGTTTATTTCAATTAATCAATTGTTGTCAATTAATGTTGTCAAGTTTTAACCTATTTGTGCGTCTGAAGACGCACGGCAATATTGTTAAGCATTAATTTGCTACAAGTTTTGTTCTTCAACTAATTCGTCAAATTTTCATATTTTCCTATATTGCTCGATATCTATGTGTCTGAGGACAAAAGTGTAATACAGCAATATTGTTAAGCATAAAATATGCTACAACTTTTGTTCTAAAAGTTTTTTTGTAACATGCTCAGATTCTCCAATGTTACCATCAACAATTTGAAAAACCAACAAATTCGTCATATTATCACATTTTCGTATTTTTCACGATATCTATGCGTCTGAGGAGAAAAGTGCAAGAGAGCAATATTGTTAAGCATAAAATTTGCTGCATGTTTTGTTCTAAACGTTTTTTTGTAACATGCTCAGATTCCTCAATGTTACCATCAACAATTTGAAAAAGAACTAATTTGTCTAATTTTCACATTTTCGTATATCTCTCGATATCTATCCACCTGAGAGCAAAAACGCAACAGAGCAATATTGCTAAGCCTAAAATTTGCTACAACTTTTGTTCTAAAAGTTTTTTTGTAACATGCTCAGATTCCCTAATGTTACCATCAACAGCTTGAAAAACCAACTAATTCGTCAAATTGTCACATTTTCGTATTTTTCTCGATATCTATGCATCTGAGAGCAAAAGTGCAAAAGAACAATATTGTTAAGCATCAAATTTGTTACAAGTTATGTTCTAAAAGTTTTTTTGAAACATGCTCAAATTCCCCAGTGTTACCATCAACAACTTAATAAAATAAGTAATTCGTCAAATGTTCACATTTTCGTATAATTCTCGATATCTATGCGTCTGAGAGCAAAAGTGCAAAAGAGCAATATTGTTAAGCATAAAATTTGCTACAAGTTTTGTTCTAAAAGGTTTTTAATAACATGCTCAGATTTCCCAGTGTTACCATCAACAACTTGAAAAAACAACTAATTCGTCAAATTTTCATATTTTCGTATTTTTCTTGATGTCTATATGTCTGAGAGCAATAGAGCAATATTATTAGGCATGAAATTTGCTACTAGTTTTGTTCAAAAAGTTTTTTTGTAACATACTCCGCAGTGTAAATCATCAACAACTTGAAAACACAAATAATTCTTTAAATTTTCGTATATTTCTTGATATCAATGTGTCTGAGAGGAAAAGTGCAATAGAGCAATATTGTTAGGCATAAAATTTGCTACAAGCTTTGTTTCAAAAATTTTGTTGTAACATGCTCAGATTCCCTAGTGTTGCTATCAACAACGTGACATACAACTAATTTGTCAAATTTTCACATATTTTTTGATATGTATGCGTCTGAGAGCAAAAGTGTAGGAGAACAATATTGTTAAGCATAACATTTACTACAAGTTTTGTGCTAAAAGTTTTTTTGTCACATGCTCAGATTCTCCAGTGTTATCATNGCAACTAACTCGTCAAATGTTCACATTTTCTTATAATTCTCCATATCTATGCGTCTGAAAGCAAAAGTGCAAAAGAGCAATATTGTTAAGCATAAAATTTGCTACAAGTTTTGTTCTAAAAGCTTTTTAATAACATGCTCAGATTTCCCAGTGTTACCATCAACAACTTGAAAAAACAACTCGTCAAATTTTCATATTTTCCTTGATGTCTATATGTCTGAGAGCAAAAGTGCAATAGAGCAATACTGTTAGGCATGAAATTTGCTACAAGTTTTGTTCAACAAGATTTTTGTAACATGCTCAGATTCTCCAGTGTTGCCAGCAACAACTCGAAATACAACCAATTCGTCAAATTTTCACATTTTCATATATTTTTTGATATCTATGCGTCTGAGAGCAAAAGTGCAAAAGAACAATATTGTTAAGCATTAAATTTGTTACAAGTTATGTTCTAAAAGTTTTATTTGTAACATGCTCAGATTACCCAGCGTTACCATCAATAACTTGAAAAAGCAACTAATTCGTCAAATGTTCACATTTTCTTATAATTCTCCATATTTATGCGTCTGAAAGCAAAAGTGCAAAAGAGCAATATTGTTAAGCATAAAATTTGCTACAAGTGTTGTTCTAAAAGGTTTTTGATAACAACTCCGATTTCCCAGTGTTATCATCAACAACTTGAAAAAACAACTCGTAAAATTTTCATATTTTTCTTGATGTCTATATATCTGAGAGCAAAAGTGCAATAGAGCAATACTGTTAGGCATGAAATTTGCTACAAGTTTTGTTCAACAAGATTTTTGTAACATGCTCAGATTCTCCAGTGTTGCCAGCAACAACTCGAAATACAACTAATTCGTCAAATTTTCACATTTACATATATATTTTAATATCTATGCGTCTGAGAGCAATATTGTTAAGCATAACATTTGCTACTAGTTTTGTTCAAAAAGTTTTTTTGTAACATACTCAGATTCCCCAGTCATCAACAACTTGAAAACACAAATAATTCTTCAAATTTTCGTATATTTCTTGATATCTATGTGTCTGAGAGGAAAAGTATAATAGAGCAATATTGTTAGGCATAAAATTTGCTACAAGCTTTGTGCTAAAAGTTTTTTTGTCACATGCTCAGATTCCCCAGTGTTATCATCAACAACTTAAAAAAACGACTAATTCGTCAAATTTTAGCAATATTGTTAAGCATAAAATTTGCTACAAGTTTCTTTCAAGTCATCTTAAGAGACACATGGCTATATTCAAATGATTCTAGATCTAGTGTTAGGTCTAGTTTTAGTACATCTGAGCTTATAATGCAAATGGGTTAACAAACACAAAATTTAAAGTGTTTATATTTCTTTTTATTTCACTGTGCTATTCCTCATCACATCTTTTATTAACATTTCATAACAAAGTCAACTGCTTATATCGTCTTATTAAAAAAAAAATAAGATTCAAAAAATAAAAGTAAACACTTAAAAAATTCAATTATCGCTTAAAAGTTTATAAAATCTTACACAGTTCCTTCATAAAATTAATTCTTTAACTTCTCAAAAGACATAATAAGCACTTGAGATCGGAACGTTAAAGTATTTACAAAGAAAAAAATTCTAGCTTTTGTGTAAACACATTCATTATTTTTTTATAATTATAATAATATAATATTATTTATAAATCTAAATGTACAATTTTTATATAATGTTTTTGTAAGACTAGATTAAAAAGAAATAAAAGAAAAAATAATCTTACTTGGTGCTTGACCCATTTTGTCGCGGTATAAATAAAATTTTTACATATTCAACAAATTTCTTATTGTGTTAAAAAAAAGTTGGGAACTTAACGAAGGGTTCTAAGGTGTGGCCAGTGTCAAACGCACGACTCCTGACCAACCGCGGCCCCATTTCCACATTCGCAACCGCGCGTTTCACAACAACAGTCAGTTTGCGATAACGCAGAACCTTCGTGAAGAAGAGCCCCATTTTCCATCGCGTTTATCTCTTGAGCACGATTATTACTTGCCGTTGTATTTGTACGTTGTCTACATAAGTATGGAGTATCTCCCGGAGAAGGACTATCTTTACCCTAATTAATTACAAAAAAAAAACAATTACAATTTTCAACAATTACAAAAATGTTTTTTTTTATTTAAATCCAACTTACATAAAAAGCTTTTTTAATTTAATAAACTTCGCTAAGCAACCACCTTTTACTCTGAAATAATAAAGCGAAAAGAAGAAGCAAAGAAAAATGAAAAGAAAAAGCAAAAAGATAAGAATAAAGCAGCAAAGATATGATTTAAAGGTTACCTTAACAAAGAACGGAAGCGAAGTGTTTTTTCATGCAAATATTAATACAAAGGTGGACGAAACACATAGAAAATCAGGATAAACGTCTTCTTTCATGCTATATTTTTAAATGAAAATGAAGTTGAAAACTAGCCATAACCAAAGAAAAAAACATTTAAAATCAACAAAAATAATCATACCTCTTTCGACGGCCCACAACAAGTATTCATTATACAAGAATCACTAACAGTTTGGGGGCAATCCAAGATGCAATCGTCCGTTTGTTCCCCATCATCGGAATTTGGCGGATAATCGGCGTAATCAACAAATTCCGGTTGAATTGTTGTCGAATGTATTCCTTCATTGTGAAAGAATTCTTTTACTTTTCCTGCTATCTTCATATATTCACTCAAATTTCGACATCTAACAACGAAAAATATACAATTTGATATTTAAAAAAGAAAATATTGTATGAGCATGAGCACATGAGTGAATAATAGCTCATTATATGTGCGTGGAATACTATACTTTGTCCACAACTACCTATTGAAATTGATTCCCTAAATTTATTCTTTTAAATAAATTTTTGAATAGGTTAAACGTCAATGTGACACAAATTCAATGTTACCAACCGTAACCAACTTCACAGCAATTTGTCAAAATTAAATGTCAATTTTATGAAACGTCATGTTTTTTTTACGAAAATTAATTAATTTATGCTAAATCATATGAAAACAGGAATTTTTTTACGTTTTTTTTAATATCAAACGTTTAGAAAATCCTAAAAAAAATTAAATTAAATTGACGTTTTTTGAAATTTTGACGTTTCAAATAATTATTATTAGTCTGTCAAGTTGAGTTTTTTCACTCTGTGAAAAATGATTTTGATTAAGAAAACTCATTTATAAGGTAATTGTGGACAAAAATAATTACCGTATATGTGCGGACGCTATAATTCTATCACCAGCTAACTGCCACACATGAAATTCATGTACAGCGAGTACCCCATCGACTTTCGCCAATAACCTCCTTTGTATGTCATCGACTTGAATGTGCGTAGGAACCGTTTGTAGCAAAATAAGCGCCGAATCCTTCAAAAGGGGCCAAACTGAATTTAGAATGAGTATCACCAAGACTATACTAAGCGCCGGATCTATGTAATACTTGTACTGCCAATCGGTCAGCCAAAAGACCAACGCAGAAATAACAACAATCACCGAACCTAACGCGTCCGATAAAACATGTAAAAACACGCCGCGCATATTCATATTTCCGGCGTGACTATGACCGTGAATACCATGACTATGACCATGTCTTCTTTGAACGGATTCCACTTGTGGAGGTGGTGGACTTGGAAAAGTTTCATCGTTTTCATTATCATCGGTTACAGCTAATTGTGTTAAACGATTTCGACTTCTTGATAAACCATGCGGCGAATGTGAATGACGTTTTGAAGAACCGTGTTCTAAAAATGTTTCGTATGAATGAAAAAATTTGTAAATAATTGAAAGATATTTGTTTACCATGGAATAAAGCTAATCCAATTAAATTAACCACTAATCCGGCTCCTCCGACGATTAATAACAGTTGAGGGTTATGAATTGGTTCCCTTTCTATAAATCTTTTACAGGCTTCCACTGTTATTGAGAAGCAAAGTGCTACGAGAAAAACTGCGTTTACTAAGGCGCCTAATACTTCGGCTCTGGCCCAACCAAATGTATTTTTTGACCATTTTTTTGGAGACATCTAAAACAAAATACATTTGTAAATTATTAAATTAAAAGGAAATTATTTATCTCTTTAACATTTATCTTCCATTGTTTATTTTTGTCATTTTTAGTCAATATCCGGTTAATTATCGCCATCCGGTTCATGTCTCGTTATTTTTTTTTTTAGATGAAGTATTAGTTTGAGAGCGAAGTGGAACAGAGCAATATTGTTAAGCATAAAATTTGCCACAACTTTTGTTCTAAAAGTTTTTTTGCAACATGCTCAGATTCCCCAGTGTTGCCATTAACAATATGAAAAAACAACTAATTCGTCAAATTTTCACATTTTTGTATATTTCTTGATATCTATGCGTCTAAGAGCGAGAATTGGTTGACAAAACAACTTTAAACACATTATAACCTTAACCCATTACATCGCAAGGGTGAAATACAAAGAAAAATTTTTGATTTATTGCTTGTATGTATCTTGACTATCTAGTTTTAATAGATCTAATAGATCTACTTATTTGTTTAGGTTATCTTGATTGACATTGTTATCTTTATTAAAAACATATGATTGATTTGTATAATAAAGCTCCATTTATGGTATTCATGGTAAAATGAATTACTGTAAGTCTTATACTAAAAGGATATACCTAATCGATGCAGGAATAATCTACTAATAAAAATGTTAGTAAAGAATTTTACTTTCTTTGACTAGGGCCATTCCTTAGAATCCATAAATAACAACATTCTTTCTACGAAAATATCTCTAAAAATATGACTCTTAAGCTTAAAATAAACGTAAAGAATGAAATGATCTTCTCCTCATCGTGTTATTTCTTTTTTTAGGAAATCCCATTTTAAATTTAGACTTACTTTAACGGATACAAAGGCAATAATCAAGGCCGCAACGTCGCTGAGCATGTGGAAACTGTCCGCAACCAAAGCCATCGAATTCGTAACGTATCCAACAACAATTTCCACCACAAAATATCCGGTCGTTAGCCATAACATCGATAGAAGGCGACATTTTTTTCCAAACCTTCCCATTCCTATAATAATAAAAAAAATTAAATTACAATTACAATTTTACAATTTCGTTATCAATTTTAAAATGTTTATTATTAAGTTGTTACTAACGGTGCGTTAAAAAAATATACCTTGAGCTGGAATAGAAATGAGGTAATAATTGTTAACGTGCAATTTCTTTGAATAATTGTCGGGATTTTACGGTTTTTCAAGCACGGTTATTTCTGTGTATAGTCACGTAGAATCAAAAAAAAACCGTTTTGTAATAAAAGAAGAAAATATATATATAGGGAGGGAAAATAGGTGGGTTTACCTCTACGACGAGGAGGAGGAGGAAGAGGTCTATGTTTCTTTCTTAGGGTGGGACCGGAAGTATTGCGATGAGTCGATTCATCCGCCGTAACGCTCATCAGGATATCGGAGATAACATTCTTGGTTAATTCCTGAGTAATCTATCAAGTACAGTTTTCTTAAAAAAAGTAGATTTCTAAAGTCTAAATCTTTTTTAAAAAGTTCTCGTCTTGACCTGACCTTTCTTAGGGCGGGACAGGAAGAATTACAAGTTATATCTTCCATTTTACAAGTATCTTTACTCGACGTAACAGTCATCACAATATCAGACATGATTTCTTTGGGTAAATCCTGACTCATCTAGCAAGGACACAGTTTCCTTAAAAGAAAAAATAAAAAAATATTTTTAAAAGGCTTCCATTTTAAAAAGGTTTCTTTTTTTGAAGGGTGAAATATATTTATTGGCTCGAGGTTTAAAAAGAATAAATGGAACAGAAAAATAAAACATAAAAGCATAATAAACCATCAAATCACCTAAGCTGGGAAAAGCTGTATGGCTAAGTAACATTTTGAAATATGATAAAAATGAAACAGAAAATTCAAAACTGATTTCAACCAGTTTTCAGAAAAGCGTGTGGTGTTTATTTTGACATGCTTTATAACTTAATGCATAAATTGCTTGAAAATATTTGTTGTAAGTAATAATTTGCAAATTATAATGGTATACAGAACATTCACCACAGCTTATCAAAATTTTAATCTATAGCCCTGTTTGGTTCAAGAGTTCTGTAGTTCAACACAAGCGCACAAAATCAGAACAAGCGGAACCATTAAACTTGTCGTTGATGGAATTGATGTCAATTCTAATTAGGGATATAAAAATACAATGAGGAATTATGGGTGGCACTAAAAGACAATTAATACATATATATAAGTTAAAATAAAATAAAAATTAAGTTAAATATAGTAGTTAAACTAATCCCAAAATGGATGTTTTTAGGTCGAGGCTTCATAAAAATAATTTTCTAAACCATTTCTTGTCTTGCCCTGACCTTGTTTCTTTTTAAAACGACATGCTTTATAATCCTCAGGTATACGTATAACAAATAGTAAAGTAACAATGTTACAAAATCGTTCAATCGTTCAAGGCCGAATTAAAAAAAAATACTTGCCCAACATTACCTATTTTGATAACACAACACTTTCGATATCAAAACATTCTTTATTGATAACTAAACTGTTATTAGCACAAGAATTTTTTTTAATCGTTGATAAAGTTTTTATAACAATGTATTCAACGATTACAAAAATAGCTCGTTACGCTACGCTTTATCATTGTCGGAACTCACTTAATTGTAATTAATAAGCTCAACAATAACAAGAAGAGTACGATAAAAAAAGAAGCGAAGAAATTAAAAATAAATTAGCACTCAAAACCAACATAATTAAGTGTTAACAACCAAAAATTTTAAAACAAACTCTTTAAATGAAGTAATTTCTAAGTAACATCTCACCTTTTCCTTTTTTTTCTGTTTTTCTAAAGAAAAGAAATCGACTTTAATTGTCAATAGGGAGAAATCAAGATATAACGTGCGGAATTAAGATTTCACATTGCCAGAAGAAAATTTCACACAAAACTATGTCTTATTGTTGAAGTTAAAAAGAAATTGTCGGCCGAAAAACTCGAAATGTACCGGATAAGGAATGAAAAGCAACTGGCAAAGCCGCGGCCGCCACGAAATGTTTAAAATGCGTTATGTGTGTGGTGCACACGACTCCAAAATCGCACGTTGTTGCCTGTTGTCCGTGCGTTCGAATTCGTTTACTTCAAATCTGAGACAAACAGGATAAAGTTAAATTTACGGAGAACGTTATCATCAACCACAGTTTATAATGATGTAAAAAATAAATGTTAGAAGTGATGGCGAAGGTTTTTTAATGTAAATTTGTTCAAAAATTTTACAACCTTTATCAAAGGTTAAAAAAATATTCTATTGAAAAAATTATGTTAAAATTGGTGATTAAAGAAATTATCTTTTCATGCTTAGTTATCTGAATCACACTTTAATGCAGATTAAGAACATCCATTAAGCATTTATCAAGTGTGATTGCCTTGAATGACTCCAAATCCAGGAAAAATGTGAGGAAAATGAGTTCGAATCTTAAATTATGTCTGAATATAAAACAAGACATTTTGGAAAACATTACCTAAAAATGTCTTAAAGAGTTAGGAGTACACATATCAGGTAAGATGAAGGTGCTACATATTCTAGATTCTTGAATATAGCCCACTCTTCCCAGCTGTTCTTGGATTTAAGTTAGGATCTAGAAGAAAATCTTATTAAATATATGGATTTCCTATATGCATTTTCTTGTCGCATCACAGATAGCACCATCATTGCACCCTGAAAACAAAGTGCTATGAAGTTCAACAACGATTTTGCTTAAAAAATCATGATGTGTGACAAGGCACATTTCCACCTCTGTTGATACTTGAACAAACAAAATTTGCTGTTCTGGAGAACTTCTTTAGAGAACTATGTTGGTTAAATGTCGTCCGGAAAAGCTTCTCCTAACTTCCTAACATTGAAAGCAAAACCTCCAATGTTAATTAGGCTTGCTAGGTTAGGGAAGTTAAATCTTGATAGATCATAATTTAACTCCTTTCTTAGAGCAAAGAAAAAAAAGCTCATCCTATATATGCACTACACAATCTGTATTTGGAAATGTGACGTTTATATGCGATTCCAGAAGCATTTTTGAATTGATTTTTGATACTTGAAGTAAATTTATTGATTATTATTGAAACGTCAATTTCTCAATGAAGTTAGAGCCCAACGAATTTACTAATTTTTGATTGCTTTTATATATTTTTTAAAAAAGCAACTTGATTCATTTACAATCAAATCAAAATACGATTCATAAACAATTTGCATATATTTAAAAATAAATTAAAATAATAAAATTCATACATCTTATTATCGCTCGTACCTAACTTCACATTATTTTCGGTTTGTTTTGACTGAGTTTTAGTAATTGACAGTTTTCAAATTTTAATTGCAAATATTTTCTTAAAAATTACACCAGAAACCCGAAATTCCTTCTAACTCACTTCCGGAGATATTAAGTTAAGTAACACGATAACTTTTTGACGCCCAGAAGATAAAAAAATGGGTTAAATGAAAGTTTTAAATTTTCTGACAACATAACCTCAAATTAAGCAAAACAGATTTTTTTTAAATCACAATCTATATTTATAAATATGGATAATATGGGGTTTTTGTGGTTTACAAAAACAGTTTTTAACAAATAATTTTCAGGTTCGAGAAAATTCCATCGAGAAAAATATTTTTTACAATGGAATTTTTATTTAAGACTTCTTGAAACTCGATGATGTAATAATTGAGGTGAGTCATCCATAATGGTTCGAAGAATCGAACATTAACCATTGAAATAATGTTTAATAAACATTATTAAATTTATAATAAAAGTACTATTTTTTAAAATTATAACGGAATGGACATTACAGATCAGCATTGCAAATAATAAATGTGATAAAGCGAATATAAATACAATAGACCAATAAATTATTTCTGTGTACTTAGCGTTGTCAACGTGTTGATAACTTACTCAATTTAGGCTGGTATCCTTTTTTAATTTCTAATAATAATTAAAAAGTTAACAATCTCGTCTACGAACTGTAAATGAATATCACAACTACTTGACATTATTAGATATCAACATTGTAGTTTATAAAATTATCTTTTAGTCTGAGATATTTAATCTTTCATAACTCAGCAAGTATTCTAAATAAAGAGAAAGCTAATTTCCTTTTTTATTTTCTACATTTTAAATTAACCATTACAAAATCATAAAAAAGGTTCTTTGTTCTTTAAAGATACAAAAAAAATAAATAGTGAAAAATCTTTAAATTACAATGACCTTTTGTCTAATCAATACACAATTCCTAACCTCAAAGTTTTAAAGGAAACCAAAAAAAATCGATTAAACCAATAAAAAGTGTATTTACCTCAAATCGGACGGTATCCTTAAAATCTTTTAAACCCGTGGGTTGTCTCAAGAAAGTCGTACGTTTACGGTACGAGTCGTTATCCTGGAATTTTGTACATCTACGAGGACACTCACTCTCATCGCCAAGAAGATGATCACAATAAAAATAAACTTTTTTTATGGGGATGGTTTAATTTTTTTTCTTTCTGTTCCGAAAAGGTTGAAGACCCCGTAATTTTGAAGGACCCCAGAAAGGACTGCGTGGTGTTACAGGAAATTGGTCGTCTGACGTCCTTCTAACAGTTGTCACGATGAAAACTCTACGAAACTGAAATTACTTATGAATAGATTGGGCTTGGAATAGAATACAAAACATAGGATACGTTCATGAATGCAACACAAAAACGGCTAGTATACTTTTATTCTTATTTTAATAGAAAATTGAATTAATTCAAAATAAACCGTATGAAGTGACGGCTTTTATTATTACATAAAATTAATAATAAACAATAAGGGATTATTTTGAAATTATATTCTTGTGTGTAAAGCTGGTGGTCTACATCAAAACATTTAATTATATTTATATTTCATCAATATCGTGAATATTCACCAATATGACAAAAAAAATCATTTTTTTTTATATTTATCACTAAAAGAAAAAGTCAGCTAGAAAATTTGCACAAGAACAGCATTTATATTTAAATTTAATGTAAATTGGGTTGCCTAAACAACTTTATTCAATTTCAAAATAATTTATTTATAATCGTCTATATATAATTATCATCGTTTTAAAATACATCTAATTTAATCCTTTAAAACTTGCACCTCATTAAGCGGCCAGATTTTTACAATTGCTCTACTTTTAATTAATCCTGTTGGTACAGGTCCGTAATGCCTAGAATCAGCCGAATTATGTCTATTATCACCTTCTAACCAAACATGACCTCTTGGGATGATATGGGTTTTCAATCCCGTTCGTATTTTATCCCCTGAAACACCTACAACACGTTTACAAATTTTTTGGTTAGGATTCGTGGGACATTTTGCTACAACTATATCCCCACGAGTAATCATATTTAATCGAGGGGAGATGTGCTCAGTTAAAAGAACGTTGTCGGAGTATAATGTTGGTTCCATAGATGGGCCAGAACACTAAAAAAGATAAAAATTACAAGATGCAATAAAAATAGGTGAAATAATTTGTTTACCACTACTAAATCCGCTAAGTATTCAAACGTACAATGAGCTATACAACCATATTGGATAATGTATCCAAAAGTACCCACTAGCTTTGAAACCGCCGTTTGCATTTTAACTTTTATTAAATCATTTTGAGTTTTTTTTGTAACATAACCTCACTTTATTATGATTGAGGCTGATTCTGTTTGTTGTTAAGAGATGGCGTATTTTTGTGGATTAATTTAAAGTCCCTAGATTCAAGGTTTTTATTTATTTAGTGTATTTCACTTAAGAAGCAATATACAAAAATATAAAAAAAAAGATATAAAATAAAATAAAAAAAATATTAAAATATAAAGCGAAATATTAACGGTTAAAATTTTATTATTTTTAGGTTATCCAACTTGACTTGGTTACCATGGTGATTAAGATCCAAATATTGCAGGTGCTTGTCAAAATTGAAGTTGAATTTAAGTTTTTTAAGGAAAAAATCTTATTTAATAGGTTTAAAAGGCTGTATTTAACACAAAATTGGTTTATCTAGGGTGTTATAAACAAGGTAAGTTAGAATTGAATCAAAAAAGATATTTTTAACTTACTTCTCTTAATTAGAATCGATTTAAATTAATTACAATTAACAAATTTGTTATGAATGCGAGATAATCGTAAAGAATTCCAATTGTTTTAAAACTAATAAAAATTAGGTTAGAATTGATAAAAAAAATCGGAATAAAAGTTTATTATTTTAAGGTTATCCAACTTGACTCGGTTACCATGGTGATTAAGATGCAAATATTGCAGTTGCTTGTCAAAATTGACATAGAATTTAAGTTTTTTTTAATGACAAACATAATTAATTGGATTTAAAGGTTGTATTTAATTCAAAATGGGTAAATGGATGAAATTATAAGCAAGGTAAGCGGATTAAATCAAAAAAAATTTTTTTAGATCAATTAATGTACAATAATTTAGGGTTAAAAAACAATTAAACCTAAAACTAACACTAGAACTAGAAAGTTTTTGGTTTAGCCGGGCGTCTTAGACAAGAACTTAGAAAAGTCTGAAGACGCACGGCTAAACCCGAATATTTCTAGTTATTTTAAAGGATTTTTAATGAAGATTACAAATACACAATGGGCACCGTGTATACTATATTCCATACATAATGGGCACCTGTATATTATATTATATTTTTCCTCCAATGACGTCACGTTTCCTACCTCACCCCGTCAACGTCAATTTGTTCGAGTTGGTAATCTAAACGTGTTATGATACGCTTATACATACCTGAAATCGAAGAGATATTAAGTCAAACAAGGGTTTCGAAAATGAAGTCAATTAAAGTTTTCGTCTGACTCGTGTGCACAGCATTTCTAATGCAGCTGTACTGGTTTGGCCACGTAAGACAAATGGGATAGGTGAGGAAACCATGGATGTACACAAAGGCCAGAGTGCAAGGCAGGCGATCCATAATAAGACAGGAAACAGCATGACCATCATACACTATGCTGCATCTCAAGGGTCTTGCGGGGAGAGGGAAATATTTAGAAGATGGAATCTGTAAAAGTTTACTAGAAACCAGTCTTGTAGTCATGGGTTGACTACATATACGAAGATTTAGTAGTCTTTCAAGAAGCAATTTCAAAGTCTTTCCACAAAGCCTATTGCAAATGTTGAGATGATTTCGTTTTAATGTATCATTCATGAGAATAGGCTGGTCGTCTTCTCAATAGCAACTATTCCAAAATACTAAGATCTTCTTTTCCTGTATATAGAGAATGCAGTGAATCATACCGTATAGTTTAAAATTTTTAGTTTTAAAATACATTTAATAATAATGCGTCACCTATTGAGTAATAGTTATACTGACAGTCAGCTATACATAATATATAGTACAACGATCCAGGTATCGTTAATGTAGTTGTGTGATTTACATGTAGATGTCGCTAAGTTATAAGTCGATAAGAACAATGGTAATAATGAAGCGACTCCCCCACCCACGTGAAGTAGTCAACCTAAAGCGGTCGTGGTAGACAGTGTGTTATGGCGCCCTTCCGACTTTAACCTCCCTTAAAGGCCGGTTAGTGTGACAGGAACATCGAGAGAAACGTATCCGAAAGGTTTAAGGAAGCGCCGTAGCACACTTCGATGCGATCGACCGACCAAATAATCTTGTATCAGTGTAATTTCGAGCGTGCAAATCTTGTAAACCGGTACGGTTTCGAGTAGTTGAAAGATTCTCGAGGGTTGAGTTCGAGTGCCGCGCTAAAAGTAAGAGAGAAAAGAAAGAAGTTGCTAGGGAAAAAGATGCTGAGCAGCCGAACAAAACACTTGATGCACTGTTGCTTGCTATTCACGATAATCGTGTTGTTTGAGATTTTTACGGGGGCTTTGAAAATTTGGCCGGACGAAACGCTCGAAATTAACCCCTGGGTTAGGTACGGATACTTGTGGACGGTGGTGTTGTACTTGTTGAGACTGGTTACGTTCCTGCCGCTACCCCAAGTGCTGTTCAATTTCGCCGGTTTAACGCTGTATAATGCGTTTCCGGACAAAGTGGTGCTAAAGGGCAGTCCAATTTTGGCGCCATTCATTTGCATCAGGGTGGTTACCAGAGGAGATTATCCCCAATTGGTAAAGTCCAACGTTCTTAGAAATATGAACAAATGTACCGATGCCGGGATGGAAAACTTTTTATTAGAGGTAGTGACCGACAAAAAGATCGGATTGGACCAAAACAGAAGGGTTAGAGAAATCGTCGTTCCTCCTAATTACCGGACGAAATCGGGTGCTCTTTTTAAGGCCCGGGCTCTTCAATACTGTTTAGAAGACGACGTTAATATCCTCGCGGAAAACGATTGGATCGTTCATTTAGACGAAGAAACCCTTCTTACAGAAAACTCGGTTAAAGGTATCCTCAACTTTGTCATGGATGGTAAACACCAATTCGGACAAGGTCTTATTACTTATGCCAACGAAGAAGTCGTCAATTGGATCACCACTTTGGCCGATAGCTTTAGGGTCGCCGACGATATGGGAAAACTTCGTTTTCAATTCAATATGTTTCACAAACCTTTGTTCAGTTGGAAAGGATCTTTTGTTGTTACCCAGGTAAATACTAAAAGAAAAAGATTTACAGGGTGATTCAAAAGTGAACAGAAAGTTTGAATTTAAAAATAATGTTAATTTTGTGTTAGTCTTAATCAAAATTAGACACTTGTAATGACTATGTAATGAGACCAGTTTGGTGCCATTGATTGTTGCCCGAATTTCGATTACGTCATTTCAACTCCTGCTTTGTATCTAAATTGCTAATTTTGCATTTCCAAAGTTTTTTTTTAAATTCTTTATGTTATCATTAATGGAACCATTAAGAAAGCAGACGTAAGAATTCTAAAACTTGTGAATTTCATGAATGAAAACATTTGTGACCTATTCTGGACTGTCATTTTGGATATAAAAAAAGGAAGTTTGTATTTCTTTTTTGTAACTCAATAGGCCTGTTTCGGTTCAAGAGTTCTGTGGTTCTGAACCTTTCCGCGCATACATATTGCATATTATGCGTATGCGCGGAAAGGTTCAAAACTGGTCGGAAGTCAGAACTCTTGAACCTAAACAAGCCTAATATTTGGAGAATTTATTGTTTGTTATGAGGTCAAAGAATTTATTGTTGTTTCGTTATGAACATAATCTGAGAAAGCAGATAAATAAAATTATCATGTAATGACGTTTGAGGAAAATTTATTTGATGATTCAAAATGATCTAATTATTGATCAAGGTTTTTGACTCAATCTTTGCGCGTATTTGAAAAGATTTATAACTTTATTTTTCGTTTTAATTGTCATTAATCAAGTAATAATAATTAATTAAGATAAGTTCTCTTGAATGAATCCTTTTATTAATACGTCACTGTTACTCACTTTTGCGTCACCATGTATAATAAAAATGTTTTTGTTTAATACTAATGAATTTACAAGTTAATATTAGGGATTTGTTATCTCGAAAATGTTGAAAAACCAATATAATCTCATAAATAATTATTTTTACGTACTGCAATATTTGTGGAATTATTTGTAATAACGAAATAGGTGGATTTTTAACGAGATAAGAATTTATCACCTCTGTGAATCATCAAAACAGAATTTGGGCTGTCTTGTCAATGATTAGTAATTTCCGAAAACCATCAAGTTAATTATTTTGTGATAGAAATGTAACTTTTTCGTACAAGATAAAGTTTCTAACAAATATTAAACAAATAAAATTTAAATTATCTGTTATCTTTTAAATGTGTGTGACTAAGGTATACATGGGTTGGTTATTATTTCTATAGATAACGAGTAAACGGCGATGTTGGCAACGCCATGGTTTTTACCTTTTATGTGTTGCCGTAATCGATACAGGCTTGGTGTGTTAACGAGAAATAGGTATTTTTGACGCCCTCTGTTTGGCTATTAAATGCTAGTGAAATTTTGTTGTCAACAACCGATAATTTAGAAACAATTTTTTTTGTGTCAAGGATTTTTCTTTTTTTTTATGATTTTCAGGGGTTTTAAGAGTAGATGATTTTTTTTAAGAAATAAAAAATGTTTTAAGTGGATCGATAAGAAATTATTCGATATTTTACTCAATAAATTGTTACGAGGAGTACTTATTTTATCTATAATTTATTAAACCGGGTTTCTAGGTAATTTAGTATATCATATTTTTCTATCATATTTAATAAATACACAGAAATTTATTTTATTAGGTATTAAGGTTATCTTTATACATGTAAGCCTATTTAAACTAAGTCATCAAAGTTTTAATTTTTGTTGGTTTTTTAGAAATAAAATTTAGAAAGAAAAATTTTGCAAATAAAAACCTCTTTTCAATGTAATCTTCAATGTAATTCTTGAACGATTTTGTGTACTTTGAATGCCAAAACTTTGAAGATTTGTCAAACAACCAATGTTCAGAAAATAATTGAATCATCAAAATTGCTAGTATCTTTTACAGTACTGCTTTTGTGTTTTGTATAGTACTAACGAGATATTTAAAATCCGAGAATTTTTGCGGCTTGCGTTCCTGCATTTTTTTGATATAAATGTATCGCACATACATATAAAATATTCGGAAGTTTTAACTCAGCCTCGAACAACCTATTGGTTTTTCGGAATGCTTTTAAATTCGATAAACCTTACTTGCTTTATTTTTAGGGCATTCACGTGGCAACATATTTATGTCATACATCTCTTTGGATACATTAATTCTCGGCAACCTATTCAGTTGGCTTTTTCTATTCGTTATGGACCTGTCAAAATTGAGTCTATAAGCAATGACTTTCTGGATAGTGGCCAGATACTGTCTTAAATTTTTTGATATTTTATAATGTTTAGAGATACTAAGAACGAGGGTTATGTTGTAGCCTAAGATTGTTATTTGAAAAATTTAGCCAAGATAATGATCCTTAAATCATAAATAATTATACGAATATTAAAGGTTATCTTTACCGTGTCCAGATAGATTTTATTGGCCACTTATCTATACCACTTGTACCTTTAACTACTATATTATATCTGTGCTATATGAGTATAGTACGATTGATATAATTGATCGCAAATTGCGTCTCCTATAATATTTATCATAATATTTCAAGATGATCACTAATTTTGTTCATAGTTAACAATTTAAAGCATACCTGTGAAGTTTAATTAATTTAAGTATTTATTTATTAAGTATTTAGATATTCGGAATTTTGGTTGAGTTAAAGACGTGTTGCAGGGGCTGCAAAAATGCAGATGTTACAAGACTATTATGAACTCAGGAATGTCATCTGGGTCTATTGTAGCCTTTGAAAGATCCACAGGTTCTAAATTAACTTCGGAGATTTAGAATGTGACTTTGTTCACATGACTTCCAGATTGGTTGTCATTTAGAAGTAAAAACCTCTCCTCATTTGAGAATGTGAAAAGCCCCATTTTTAGAAATGAAATTTAATCTTACTTAATAATAATCTCTGATAAGAAATAAATCTGAGATGTCGAATAAGCGCTAAAAACTACTCGAAACTTTATGTTTTAGTGTTTTTCCATTATACTCAACAATTAAGTGCTTCGAGTTATGGTTGCTTTCAAAATCGTTAAGATTGCTGAATAAATTTCTGTGTTAACTGCAAAAATATGTTCGAAAACCCCTCTAAGTGCACTTTTGCAAAGTTATCTTAATCCCCACCGCATAATCCATCCAGCTGAGTTGTTGGAATTTGAATGATATTGAATACTTTTTCATTGGGTTCTTATTAACAGTTTCTTGGTGTATGTGATCTTCATATTTTCCTTGTTATTACATGTTCTAGCTAGCAGGATCTCCATAGTAATGAAGATCTAAAGATGATCTTGGAAACAATTTCGGAAACACACGAGATTTGCACATCTTCAACACTGAGAAAAGGCCGACCAGCGCATAAGGTGGAATGGCCATTTAGATATGCATAATAAATAACATTGAAATCTCAGTGAAGACAATGTCAACACTCTCAATCTTAAAGATGATCTCTGCGTTAATGGATAAATATACATGAAAATAATGTGTCAAGACGTGAAATATTGTACAATCTGATAATGATAACTTAAATAACGCTGAAAAAATTTTGTGGTGTATTCAGATAGTTTTGATTATTTCAGAATTAGCAGAAATGCATTGGAGAGCAACGAAAACTTCAAACAGCAATTAATAATATGACCAACACCAATATGACAATCATCAAGTCAACCACTTCTGATTTGGTTGGCAAAGTATAATTCTGGAAATAATTAATCGCACAAATACGAGCTAATGAATTAATTATCTTTACTGGAAATTGTATCAGGTAAATCCATAGATTGAGGTTGGTAAATTTTTTTTGTGTAACTTGTGAAACAAAGAACAGATTGAGTAGGTTAGTTCAACGATTTCCCTATTGCTGATAATCGCTATCTTCATTCTATCTTCATCCGTTAACTATTGCGTCGAATAGAAAAAAAAATTGGTTATATACTTGTTAGGCTTTAAAGGCATTTTGAATTCACATCATTCTGGGAATTTTAGAAGCATTTCGACAACGAATACATTTATTCCTAAATTTTTTTTTTGTTATCAAAGAAGGTATTGAAATTTTACTTGATAGATGCAACGGTTCAAACGTAGATCTTTGGAGTCGTTTAATATCATGTAAAATTTTCTTTTCCCTATTTTTGTTTGCACAGTTTTCAACATAGTCGAACAAATAATCGAATAAATTGGAAAGGAGCGCGTATGTTAATAATTTCAAGCAATACTACATGATCAAAGTTGCTATTAATAATTCTATACGTTAAGGCATCACTGCAGGAGTGGTGTTGACTGAAATTTAAGAATTTGAAAGAGGTGTGTATGTGTATTTGTAATCAATGTAAACACTATTGGCTTTGAAGCCAAGATATTTTAGAAATCTCCTTTGATTTCTTTCAATTTTAATAATTTATAGTTGATATTAAGAATTCCAAAACAGCACTGCAGATTGTCAAAACGTACCCAAAATAAAGTAAATATTGTTAAGAAGTTTTTGCGACGTAATTATTTTTAGGCTTATACCTATGCGGTTTTTACGTGGAAAATGTGGTTTGTTTTGGAGATAAATTTTGAGGTTTTTATGATTAAGTTTATTAGAAATGGAAAAGTTTACAAACTTCTTCTCAAAGTAAATGAAAAAGCACCTTATTAAATTAATTATTTGTTTTCGGTTTTGTTACATAATGCTTGTCGCATCAACGAGTTGATAGCCTTGAAAAATATAATGGATTTTGATTAAATATTTACCAGCCGATGTGAGTCAGTCAGAGTCGAGTGGTTCTATGGCTTTATCAATGAGAAGGGCAGTTTTAAAAAACGATTGTAATTGCACGACGGGTGATTAGCGTTGTCTCTCGAACGTCATGGAAATTACGCAGAAAAAATTGCCAGGTGACAACGTTGCGATTAAACGATTTAAACAAGCCTTTATTAGATGTGACGTTTCCGGTACACATAAATATAAACGTTATAAATTTTGTTTTAATATTTATTGATTGATACAGAATAAAATTATTGAATGAAGTTGTGTGATGCGCAACAA